TTTAAATACTTAACAAAGGCTACCACTGGGTAGTTTAGTTGGGTAGTACTGCAACATATTTAATAATTTACCTTTTTTACTTAAAATTAACCAATAACTTAAATTGTCAAATGAATGTAGTGAAGTAAAAAATACAATATTTGCCTCTGAGTCGTAGTTAAGTATAAATGACCTATCATGGAAATACCAATATGTACAAGTTTGTCAAAATGTTACTTAAGAACAGTAGGCTACTTGAGTAAATGTACTTCATTAATTTCCACAAGTATGCCTTCCAAACAGTCTCAGGACAGCTGCTGCCAGACTATTGCTTAACATGTCTCCTTCCACCAACATGTTTTCCATGCATGACTTTGTACTGGCTGTAAATATAGCTTAGCCTGCATATGTCAAAGGTCAGGTTCTTGTATTCTCTGGGAGCATCACTAATCTCCAACTCTGTCTGTGGTTATAGGCCACCATGTTGTACACACTTCATTGTGCAAGCTCCTATCACATGTTGCTACACTGTGAGGTATCACGTTGCGGACAGGGAGCGTTTACTTTTAGGTCTCACTGTCAGTGGCAGCTGTCAGGCTGGCTGGTTGCCGGCATGCTTTTATTTTCATACAGTACTCATGTAGTGTCATGTCTGATGGAGGAACTGAGATGATGTTTCACAACCCTAACCCCCCTCATAGGGGAATACATGGGTGTGTTTATCAGCAGCCATGGTTAAAGTTACTTTACAGATTATTAATATATATATATATTAACAGAAAACAAACAATACTTCGCTATAGATTAACTACCAAACGGTAAATGTGCATACCTTACACTGGTTTTAAACATCTTGCAACATTCTCTTGCACCATTTTATTATTTCTATTCTGTTATTTCTTGCTCTATTTTGTATTGGTTTAACAGTTTTATGTCCTGTATATATTCATGTTGCATTGTTGGAGGAACATGGGACTTAAGTTTTCCATTGCCACTGTAGCTACTGTGCATATGACAATAAAGCCTTGAATACATTTTTTACACTGACAATAAATACATATGTGTGTATTTGCAAGTGTTCTTCATTCTTTGCTGTGAGCTTTCTTGTTGCTGGCCACCTAAAGTCCCTAAAGGCCCTGACACACCTACCCGATTTTGGGAGTCAGAGGCCGTCAGAGGCAGTCGGGCATTCGCGGCGCCCTATTCAGGTTGGTGTGGACAGTTATTGCCACTCGTCGACTGAAGTCTTTGCGGTGTGTTCATAGGCGGGCGGCGTAGCCGACGCAGGCGACGTAGCGGACGTAAAAGTCGGGACGCCTTCGGTACGCGTTCTTTGGTCTCAGGTTGGTGTGTAGCGGCCTTTAAGCCCCGGACACACCAAGCCCATTTTGGCCGTCGATGGATGTCAGGTCGACGATGAGCGTCCTTCTGCCCTACTCAGATTGGTGTGTCCCGCACCGTCGTATCTTTTCGGCCGTGCCGACACCTACCGATTCGACATGTTGAATCGGGAGGCTGTCGGCTAAAGGCAGTTGGCCAAAGAAATCCCTCTGATTGGCTGTTCAGCCACCGAATCAATGCACGAGAAGCGAAACGGAAGTGAGGGACCCAAACAAACTATTAAGAAGGCAAATCTGAGATTTCATTTAACTCCAGCTCTCGACACAGGTTCGGGAAAGCCCCATGAGCTTCTCGTTGTAGAGTGCACATGGAACGCACACGCTATTTGTTGTTTGTTTATATCACGCAGTCTGTTCTTCTTCTCTCGGTGTATCACGCAGTCTGTCTTCCGGTTGCCTCTTTTGAATGACGAATACACACTACCGCCGCCTGCTGGTAAGGAGAGTTATTGCCACTCACGCATGCGCAGTTCGTACGTGCAACTTGGCCGTTGGATTAAGTCTTTGCGGTGTGTTCCAGTGCGAAACATGGCCAAGACGCAGGAGACGTGAGGCGATGTGAGGCGACGTTCCATCGGGACGTGTTCTTTGGTGTTCTTTGGTGTTCTTTGGTGTCAGTTTGGTGTGTAAGGACCAGTGGCGTAACAAGGTTGTGATTGGCCCCGGTGCAAATATTGTTTTTGGCCCCCCCCCCCATACATAAGCGCACACTGATGCGCTCACACACGCACAGACATACACAACCACTCAGAAGCGCCACATGTATAGGCTATCAACAACAGCCTGCCCTGGCCTCAGACCACCACAGCCTGACAACGGCACAGCGAACCAAGAAGAGGATTAAACCTGTTTCCTTGATGTGTGTCTCTGGGGAATGGGCCGGTAGGCCTACCTAGACCGGTTGCTATAATATAGCTTTTAATCTTGGGGTCGGGGGTCTCAGTAGCGCCATAGAGTCCCCTATCGGTTGGGGCCCTTGGGGGATCTGTTGGACCACCGCCGGGCACAGCCAAATCCAGCCTCTCCTCCTGGCTGGCTGGAGAAGAAGGTTGCTCAGCCACGGCCACGGATACAGCTTCACTTGTGGAGCTAGATGGCAATGATGGTGGTGACCTATCGTAATACATAGTAATACCTATACCAATAAGCAGTAACCAGTAAGGTGTGCCCGTTCTCTCTCTCTCGCTCGCGCCACACATACACCGGTCCTCCCGATGGCCAGTCGGTGCCTGCCGGTGAGCGTGGAAGTGTGGTCTGTCGCAAGCAGGCGGCAGGAGCGGAGCTGTCAGCATCAGCTTGTAGATGGTATTTTAAACTCGCTGCGCTCTGAAACTACGGGGCAGCCGAGGACAAAAAATACACATGCGTTAATCGCGTTAAAATAATTAGTGGCGTTATTAACGCGTTAACTTGACAGCCCTAATATATATATATGTTGTTTTTTTTGGATGGGCCCCTGGCCAGCTCTGGGCCCTGTCGATAGTTACGCCACTGGTAAGGACCTTTAAAAATGCAGAGACACACAGAGAGGCCCCAGAGCCTCATAAAAGAAACAGAGCAAACTAATTCATATTGACTCCCTGCGCTAATTATAATTACACATACATGCTATTTGGACCCTGTGACCTAGATAATTGTCAAACACTTCATTAGTTTAAAAGCATCTCATCACCTTGTTGCCAGATTTCCTTTAAATTAAAGTGTTACGCCATGTTGTTGTGCCATTGTTATTTTAATACATTACAGTGCTGCATTGTATTGGATGGCCTTCATCTGAGTGGCATGCTTATAATTATTTTCCCTACAAAAAAACAAAATAGATATTGGCATATATTAGCCTACCTTAAAGGTAGGGTAGGTAAGAATGGAGAAACCTAGAGTGCGCTAGAATTTGAAAGTACGCAGCCGAAAAAAATCTGCCCCTTCCTTCAGACTTCCTTACAGAGCCCCTCCTCCAACACACACGAACGCGCACATGACCAATGAGGGTACGAGATAAGTTTGTGCACAGATGAAAGGCTGACAGGCAGGATAGGCCATCCAGTTATTTTAGCCGGGCTTCGTGCTTTTTACAGCTTCCACAGATGACATTTTTTAATGTATTTATTGTCAAAGCATTTACTGTATTCATTGCTATCGGGATGTTAAGAGCATTCCATGAAATATAACAAAAAGTGTTTCTGAAGTGAATTATGGGAGAGTGGGGTAAGTTGAGCCATTTTGTAGTTATGCTGTCCACTAAGCAAGGAGAAATGACACATAGTAAATGAAAGCACACACCTATAATTCAGGATGTCTCCTATCAATGGCAATGATAAGAATTCATATTTGATCAAGGGCAGTGAAAATATTACTTCTTTAAAAAAAAGTGGTCTTGTGGCTCACCTTGCCCCGGGTTAGGGGTAAGTTGATCCAGGTCAGGGGGTAAATTGAACCACTGTTCAAACCTGGGCATACCTGTTCAAACCTGGGCATACCTACAACACATCTTAAAGGTAACTTTAAACAATAAATAACAAACCAAATACAAGTTAAGTTTTTCAAATATTTTTAATATAAATTTCGATTGAATTGATTGATTGATACAATTTCATACATCTTACCAATCAACCACATAGTAAATTCAACTTTAAATGTAGCCTACAATGAGCTCTTATTATCAACTTGGCCTACTTTCATTCATTTCTCCATTGAAAAACTGGCTCAACTTACCTCTAGGCCCATGGTTCACTTTACCCCATAGCCACCATTTTAGAAAAAATAGCCTAGCATTAAAATGCAGTCATCTTTAGCTTAATGATTCACATGGTTTAATACACTGCCAACATATACAATATATGTGTTTAAACCTGGATATATTTTTGTTGTCATGACTTCTGGAAAATGTACCTTGACAAGCAAAAAACGTTTTTTTGTAAAAATGTTTACTTCCCAGACCACAATGAGCATCTCTCTTTCACTGGCAATGAGAAATGGGAGGAGCTTGCATCATTTCTGGTCACGTGATTACAACTATAAGGCGTTGCCTGGTTACAGGGGGTGGTTCAATTTACCCACTGGCTCAATTTACCCCCTTCTCCCCTACCCTACCTTTAACAACACCCCATGTTAACAACATAATGCAACAGCAACTTCAGAGAATAGACTGAGACTAGTCTGACATCTGCTGGGGAAAAATAGTACTGCTGCATCTTAGAGAAACAGGTGCATGTGATGAATAAAACACAATAAGGTGGTTGGATAAAAAAACTCCACAACACTTGTTAATATTTATATTGTATTATAATATATTTATGTAGCATGAAGGTGGCATGTAGATTCCAATTCTCCATAAGCTCATTCAAATCAGAAATCAAATCCCAAGGACGTAAGCCTGTTGATAACTAATGAATGATTAACGTTTATAAGTCACCCTTCTTGACTAACCTTAGTTATTTCGTCATTGTCTGGGTGATGGAGGCCTGATTTAATCTTTTATCAAGTCACACGATCAGGAGTCATCGCTTTCTCTTCGGATTGGTCAATACGAGCAGCGACTGTGCTGCTGTGTGACAAACAGCGACCCTGACCAATCCCCTCCTTTAATTGCCCACGATCACTCCTCCGTGCCGTACCCTTCAAATGACGTCACGTCCAGCAAACGCGATACGCATTGAGTTTGGAGACAAGAGAAGAGCGGGTTGCTCATTGCGGTAAAAAAAAATTGTAGTAGTAAACTCTGGTGACAGAAGAAGGGTTATTTCTACAAAGAGACTGCTGCTTTTGACACCAAACCGGGATACTATTCATTCAAAGGTAGGTGGTGCACACTTGTCCTTTACGTTATTTCGGTTGGTTTATGAGCCTAGTCATCATGAACTTAGGGGGCTGTGTAAAGTGGGTTGTGGCCTGCAGGTTCCACTTCTATTCGGCCTTTGTTAGCATTCCATAATGTTTCTTAGACATTATAATGATATCCCAGTTTAATTTCGGGGTGAAATATACAAAAACTACTACAATACTGATGTAAATAGGCACCATATTTAAAAAACAAACAACGGCTACCATGGTAATATTAAGCTAATTACAAACTAGCGTAATAGCGAATCTCAAAATGGTGTAAGACAGTAGCATGTATATTTAGCATGCAACACATCTTTGGTTACCAAATGATATATTTTTCAGGTTTGTTGTGACTTGGCTCAGGCCATATGTTTGCCTGCGTTGTTGTGTGTGTGAGATATTTGTGGTTGTGGTCCTAATTGGGTCCAGTGGGACTGTCTTCATGCTCACATTCAGCCTCTTGGTCTTGTGATGTCTGGATGTGGAGAAAGTAAACACAGGCTGCCAGGCTCCAGGGCTGTAGCATGGCCTGTGTGAGCAGTCTCAATTAAATAAAGCTATTTTTGTAGAGAACTAGGCCAAAATAGACTTTCTAAAGCATATTTCTAGGAATAACATACATTTAATGTGTAAACTAAGCCCTTGTACTGGATATATTACTGTAAGATGCCATTTCACCCTAGAGATTCCACTTGTGTGTGTGAAATTCCAAACAGTTTTTGCTATGTTTTTCATGTTTAACATAAAGGAAATACAACTGCATTTTATATGCAACCCCGTGTTGTACATGGAGAATAATTGATGGTTGACAGGGTCATTTTCATGTTACAACACATTTCCTGTTCAAACTTTCACATGAAAAAAGGGAACTAGTTAATACATGCAGGATCTCCCAGGATCCTTTTTTGATTATTTCTATTTACTGTAGCTAATATCAGTTTCCCTAAAGAAACCTGTCAAGGCTGGTTTAAGGGGGGTTTGGACCCTCTAGCTGATCAGATTGGCTGGTTAAGATAGAAATAGCTGTTTCCAGTAGTCCTGAACAGGAATTAGATGTTAATTTGATCAGAGAACTTGTTTTGTATTAATTTGATTAAGATGAATTAACTCTAGTTTGCACGTAAATTATTTTAAAGTGTAAATTGTTCAATCCTGCCAGACACAGATGTTAGTGAACCGACTACGCGTATTTACTCCTTTATCAATCAAAACAATGCCATTGTCCGAGGGATTTAATGGATTCAGAGACGTCTCAGGTGCACTGTCTGTGTGTGTCACTCTGAACGTGATATAATCATCATGATACTGCTGTGGAAGCATATCCTGAGCTCACTCACCTATTTGTAAAGTCAAACAGGGTAAAACAAATCAGTAACATGCAAAGGAACACACACTTAACACAATGTGCAAATCTTTCTAGGAGCGACTTCTCCTGTCACTTCTCATGTAGACTTTAATCTGATGCCTAAGAGTGGAGCAGTTTTATACAGGTACAATGGAGTACTACAAGGTGAACTTTGACACTGCCAACATCCTTATTGGTGTCAGATTACAGGCACCCTTTTGAAAAGGCCCTTTCTCAGTAATGCAACACTCTCGAGTCACACATAATCCACAAGGTGGATCAAAGATTACCAGAGACACAGAGATCTGATAATTGTGTTATTTTACTGCCTCCTCGCTGCCTTAAGGTACAACAAAAACAACCCATCAGGGATCACTCTGTTCCTCTGGGAGCATGGTAACCATAGTAACGGAGGCCTTTCCATCTGTCAGCAGCCCTAAGAACATTCAGGTCACGAGAAGTCATCCATCTTTGAAAAGCACTGTGTAGAGATGCTTATTGCCGAGGTTCCATTAGGATAATTGTGACAGAGTACAACAGTAACAGTTGTATTTCCTTTGTCTCCCCTTTGTTATATTTCATCTCACTCCACCTGTGCTAAAGAGCAATGTAACCTTTCATTAGGTACCCAAGAACCATTATTATATTATACACCTTACTATTTTTCTAAATTAGGTAATTAAAAATGAGACGAAACAATAGCTTTACTTTAAGCCTTATAAATAGAATATTGTTTTTGACGATAAAGGCTTTTTAACAGTAATGTGTACGTAATGTTTTTTGACACAGGATGGCTTTGTTTGGCAAAGAATTGAATGATGATGGAGAAGCTTAGCAGGAGGGATTTGCAGTGCTATTTAGATGTTTATAGTGTACACACACAACATGACAAGGCAATCCTGGAAGGTTACCAGCGATGCAGTTTTCCATCTGGCCTTTTTTCTCTCCTTGTTGTGGCTGTTCTACATGAGCAAACCCAGCGGTGAAGGCTAGCATGAGGGTGGGGGCGGACCTGGATCGGCTTTATCGGAAGCCATTAATGGCAGGTTGGAAAATGCTAACCTCCTCTTGAGGTTCAGAGTGGAGCAGTAACCTTTAATGCTGATGACAAACATGTATTGTAGTTTCCAAACAGCCGTGCGATTAAAACGCTTCCTGGATATTAAGCAACGCCATTGCAATATTTAATCTCCATTGTGATGTTCCTGTAACACGGAAATGACTAATGTTGATTATTTGTCACATTACATATTTGTTTTTCTGAGTGACGATCAAGGCGATTGGTCGCTACGTTATCTTTCCTCTTTCCCATTGTTCATTTGTCTCACCCTGCCTCACACAGTGAAGCTGACTCCTCCATTTGTAAAGTGTGTGTGTGACCAGTAAGGAAATGGTGCTACTCTGTAGTAGGGTGGACGCTGGTTGTAATTGACTATTGACTCCCTCAACTAGCAACAACAAATCTGTTGTGCTTGAATTTCCTGCGTGGCTGTGTAGAGCATAGTTGTTTGTTTGTGTGAGACGGCACAGAAGGAGATATTTTTAAGGGAATTAGGGAAAAATCTGTGCAATGTACTTTCCTGTTCTGGCAAACAGTTGCATCAGTTGTGTGTTGTTCTCTGAAACCAGGACTCAGAGGAGTTCATTGTCTAATGTGACTCAGGAGGCTGACTACACACACACACACACACACACACACACACACACACACACACACACACACACACACACACACACACACACACACACACACACACACACACACACACACACACACACACACACACACACACACACACACACACACACACACACACACACACACACACACACACACACACACACACACACACACACACACACACACACACACACACACACACTTATCTGCGGTCCATACAAAACCACACATTATTCTGATAGTTTCATTTAATTAAGGTGCATTCTCATAAATTGAACAATAATTGCAAACTATGTTGATAGATTGGTGATTGAGCTTCACCGCAATAACCACAACATATGGATGCTTTTATTGTTGTACTGTGGGAATTCAGTATACAGGTATGCAGTATAATTAAACTATACATGGAAATATGTATTTCCAGCTTTGTTATACACTAATATATATAAGGGTTGTTTAATTCTGTATTGTCTGTATTGTGCATTACTTTTACAATATATCCTCATATAGGTCTGCATGTTGCATAAAAGCAGAAAAACATTCCCTACTGATTTATTTATTTATTGTTAATTCCTCCCTTATTATTACTGGCTAACTATTTTATCATTTTCCAAATATATATATTTTTTTATTTAAGCAATTGCTATTAGACAATTACTATTATGCCTATTTTTGCTCTTGTTTGTTATGCATCATGTCAGGTTATGTACAGCGACTTGTTTTTCAGTATTTGTCCCCTGTTCCTTTTTTTTGTACCACCTCAATAGTCACAGTGTGTTGTTTTTGCAATATATATTTATATTTTAAAGCAGATCCAAATTCTTATTACTGTCTCTTGTATTACTTGTATTCTTCCCATTTGTGAATACTGAGTACACACCTCCTTTTTCCATTGTTTTCACCATCTCTCTTCTATTTCCTTGTCATTGAGGTGATCGTTCAGCTAAAGGATGAATTTTGAGCAGCCCCCTCCGTACCCAGGCAATGGCCCCTCTGCTCCAGGCTACCCGGTCCAGGGCCCGCCTCCACATGGCTACCCTAACCAGGGTTACCCTCCACAGGGATACCCAGTGAACATGGAGCAGCCCAATCCAGCTTACCCCAACTACCCTGCGGGACCAATGGGCCCTGGAGGCCCCGGAGGCCCCTATCAAGACCCCGGACAGCCTCCTTATGGGTACGCTGGACAACCGCAACCACAGTTTGGCTGGCAGGGGGGACCCCCTGGACCAATGTATGGGGAGGCTCCCAAAAACACAGGTGAGTGGTAACACACAAAGGAGATGAATGCATATGTATTAATAATATATATCAATAATGGTGTCAGAGCAGTGTGAGTGGAGTACCACTGAGGATCACGCAGACTGCGTGGGGCCTCATCTTGCAGAGAGGGCCTCATCTTATGCGCAAATGCGGTGCAATAATGCGCTCCACAGTTTCCCCACTGCGAGGCTCCGGTGCTAACAGTTCACCAGCGTGCTCCACTAGCACCCACGCACTTTTTTAGTATTGAGTACTGAAATGACGTGTACTGTCTTTTACCACAGTAGATTTGAGCCAAACCCTCTTCATTAAAGTGGACCTATCATGCTATATTTGAATAATATATTGTAGGGCCATACCTATATAAAACATGTCTGTGAAGTGTTTTTTTCAAAATACCAAATGGATCATGCATTTTAGGCATGCCACATTTAGCTCTATTTGCTCTTTTCCAGCCCTGTCTTCACAAGGGCTGATTCTGTGGCAAATGAGCTGCAGCTGACCACGCCCCCTGCAAAAGGAGGGGGGCGAGGCACGAGCGTCATGTTACCATGCTGTTACCATGCTGTTACCATGCCACGCAACCTCTCATTCCCCTGATAGGTGGAGAGTTGCCCATATAGGCGGAGCTCCTTGTTTCTGACGTCAGAGAATTTTCAAATCTGGATCAGTCTGTATCAGATCCGTTGCAGCCCCGTTTTTAGAGATGTGGGTATGGAGGAAAAGAGAGAGGGTTGTGTTTTCTGACACTTGGTGAGTTCCCTGACACACCGGGGACACATATTCATGTATAAAAGACGTACAAAAGTGCATTTTGCATGATAGGTCCCCTTTAAGTTAAGTGGTGGGAGTCTTTTACCGAGCAAGAGACTCATATTGTAAATAATCTATGGGGAAATTCCTGTGATAAAAATACTTTTATTCAAATATTGGAAATTGACCATAACGGAGCGTCCACACAGCAGCGTGCGTTGACGCTTGGAGGTGGGCGTGTCTGAAGCTTAGGGATTTTTTTTTGCGAGCAACGCGACCAACAACCAATCACATGAATCTCCTGCCCCCGACATACAAAGCAATAGCAATGTTAAAACGAAGTAAACTGGATATAAAATCCCCAAACAGGCGAAAACCTACCAGTTTCATCCACTGTCTCTGCCACCTCCCTCCATGCCTCGCTCCTCTAGTTTGTATCCCGGGAGATGAACAGAGACTGATCATACAGCACCGGGTGATTCACTACCGCTATAATGAATTTTCCCTCCATTTTTTGGAATATGAGGAAATGACCTGCGTAGTCTCTCCCAGCATACACGCGGTTTGATTGGCTAGCGCTTGTACTGGCAGATTTGCATAAACGGGATTTCATTGGCTGACGCTTCTGCCGAGGCGCCAAAAGTTGAACATTGCTCAACTTTTGAAGCGAGCAACGCCAGCAACGCTCCACGTCGCTTCCCAAAATGCAGTTCGGCTAAAAGTGACGTCACCCCATTCAAAGTGAATGGGCAGAAGCGTTGGAAGCTTCAACGCACGCCGCTGTGTGGACGGGCCGTAACATTTGACCATTTTGGAATTGTTCTAATTACAATCTCTCAAAACCATTACATGAAAAGGATAGTGTTTTTAGTTTTTTTTTAAGGTGGGGTTGTGTGAGGTTTTGAAAGTCAGTGTATTTACCGTCAGTAGATTGCAGTCTGCACTCCCCCAGATTGAGGAAGCAGACCGGAGTACCAACACAAGCTAAACAGTGTAGTGCTGTGGAGGGGGGCAGCAGCAAAACATATTTCTAGTCACCCAGAAAATATATTTTTGAGTGTGCACTTTATTTTGAATATCTTACTTCACCTTGCCGTCTGAAAGCCATTTTAGAAAATAAACTACAGCCGCTATGTATCCATCTGTGCTCTTATCAATTGCGCTATTTTGTGACTTCAGTGAATCGAAACTAACCCTTAACAACACAAAAGTCACACAAGAAAAAAACTAAGCCATCAAGGCAGCGGTGCCCTGCAACTGAAATGACTGTTTTTGTCAAAGGAGTCTGGTGGCTGTCTGCCGGTCACTATTTTGTACAGCCCAATATGTCTTGAAATTGCAAATGCAGATGTGTCACTAAAATGTAAAACAATTATAAGCAGAACATGTTCAAAACTCAGAGGCTCCAAACCAACAAATGTTCGACTGTTCTGCTTAAAATAAAACGTAATTATTATTATGTATTTTATTATTTGTTTATTCCACACATGGCAGTTATTTTAAAACCAAACATGTACACTTTTTGTGTAGCCCATGGTGGAAAGGAGCAGGGAGAAGAACATCATATTTTACCTGCCCCTACTTTAAAAAATAAAATAACAATACAAATGTAAAATCAAAAGCTTCTGTTCTGTCAATCACAGTTGCTTACAAATACTTACAGAAACATAAAACCAGAACACAATCAAAAGTCATCTTCATACTGTCTGAATGATCAAAATAATAGACCATTTATTTTCTGCCTTTTTGACTGATTAATACAAATGAATGTTTAATTGACTGGGACTGAAAAACCTGTCACCATGTAGAGTAAGAGCAACTAAGGATTTATAAAGTGTGAAGGCTTAAGATAAAAGGTGTGTGTAGACATCAACGCCTCACAACTGAGCATCCAGAAACAAAAAGGCACACGTGTCATGGTAAAATATTCCAAATTAATATGCAAAGCGGGAGAACACGGTTAACACTGTTATCTATTAAACACGAGCAGCGAGGTGTTACTGCTCCAGATAAGCCTCCTCTTTCTGATCAAAGGACTGCGCGCTGCTATCCAGATTCTGGCTTTGCGTTGCCTGGATTGACATTCATTATGAAATATTGGCCAATCATTAACCAGTCATATCATTATCAGGGTTCAGTGTGATAAGTGGTCAGCTAGCCTTACTTAATCTCTGGTAGTCGGTCGCCTTGGTAACCTATGTCATGAGTCAGTGCACCTGGCTGTTAAAGGCTGGATGAGTGTTACCCTCCACATGAATGATTAATCACACAAACCAGGAAGGGGGGGGGGGTGTTTCTGTCCCTGTTGGTTGACTATTTGTGTGTAGGTGGAGCAAATGGTAAACTTCACATAAGAGTAACACAGCCTCATGACTTATTTAGCTGTATTGACTGAAGGAGATATAAAACCAATGTGGATTAATGGGAAATGCGTCGTTGGCAGGGTAGAGGCGTGGAGTTCAGGAAGCTCTCATTTCATTAGTCTAATGATACCTCAAAGCACTGCTGAAGTTACTCAACCATCACGGCGTCTGATCATGGCTGCTATGGCATTACCATGACGATGTGCCTCCTGTGATGAACGTAATTAGTGGAGAATCATAGCCATGGTTACACTCGAGCTCACCGCTGAAGACTTGACGGTGAATTTTCTCAGTGTTTCTCTACGATTTTAATCACTAATTGCTTTCTTTGAATTGTCTCTCCCTCCTTCCCTCCATCCCCTTTTTTATATTCCCACCCTGCTTCTCTCCCCATCTCTCTTTCTTTCTCCAGTGTACGTGGTGGAGGACAGGAGAAGAGACAACTCCGGCTCGGACTCGTGCCTGACGGCCTGCTGGACAGCTCTGTGTTGCTGCTGTCTCTTTGACATGCTGACATAACTACTCTCCAATTCCTGTTCACCCCCTCGCCCCCCATTTCTGTGCCTCGAACCCCATCACCCTTTCCCAATCCTCCCCCTCTTTATCTGCCTTAAACCTCGCACTCTCTCAAAACCAACCCTCCGTTTCCTCTACAAGTCTTTTATCCTCGTCTATAAATAAAAGCCTCGATTTCAATATGGAAGTCTCTGTCCGGAGCCGCTTACTCGGCCTGAATCCCTCAGCACTGAATAACTCACTGACCCTGTGCAGGGGCTCTGTAGCCGTTTGTAACTGAGCTAACCTGAGAGGCAGGCTCTTCAATGTAATCTAACACCAACACACCAGGAATACACACACACACACACACACACACACAACACACACACACACACACACACACACACACACACACACACACACACACACACACACACACACACACCACACACACACACACACACACACACACACACACACACACCACACACACACACACACACACACACAGATACATAGCAACAAACACACAAGCAGATACATAGCAACAAACATACATAAGCTGTGTCTCAATTTGAAAACTTATTTGAATACACTGCATGTCATACACTGTGAACAATAGACTGAGTAATGTTCTCCTAAAACGCACAGGGCTGCTGTGGCCTCACGGAAAGTTGAAGATAGCCACTGGTTAGCTTGCTAGCCGACATAGACGTAAGTGGTAGCAATCACTACAAACTGCTCAATTAGCCCAATAAAATGAATGGTGGCTTCTTTTAGACAATGGTATAGTGGTACGTTTATTTGTATAGTGCTGTGTTTACTGGAGCAATCTCAAATGGTCACTCCCTTCCATTACGAAGCCAAGATGGCGGTCGATGAGGATAAGAAGTGTCCAGTGTTCCACACTCAACTTCTTGACTGTTATGATTACACCATCCTGGTATTCATAATGCACTGCATGTTTCGTACTTTGCAAAGGAACCCACTTACACACTCAAAACTGCTAGTGTAAGTACAGAAGTACGCATATTGAGACACAGCATTACAGTATACTTAAATCTCAGGCTAATCTAGTGTGAGGCTCTTTGGCACTTTATGATGATTACCTCTGTAAGATACTCCTGCCTGTCCTGTCAACCATCCCTTAATTCCCCTTCTGCTAGTTCCCAACGCCAAGGGCAACTCCTTACACTGCCCCCCCTCCCCCAACCCCACCCAAAGGCCACCACCAACACCCCGGCTGTTAATGAGCCACAGGGCGCTCTTAAGAAGCTGATGCTTGAGATGTATCCCTTTCATTTGCACAGAAGCTGTTTTCGCCGACGTATGTCTTCAGGTGGAATCATATGACGATAAATGGAATGCATTTTTTTAAAAGATGACAGTGATTTATGTTTGATTACTGTCAGCAGTCGATGGCCGCAATGTTTTTTTTTTCTCATTGTGATCTTGATATGAAAAATGATTCCAATGTTATTTTTATTACATACCTTGGAGATAAAACTGGAAAATGAAAATAAAAAAAGAATAAAATGTGATTTCTTATAAGAAACCAAATGATCTGTCAGATGCCTTTTTGCTTTGGATGACTTGCATTAAAATAATTTGTTCCCATGAAATAGCTGGTTTTGTTGTTTGTGTATATGTGATGGATTGCGATGTGTGTGGGGGAGGTTACATGAGAGCAGGGAGCATAGATCTGTATACTGTAGCCGACGGGGCCAGGCCGGATCCATTCGACTATTTATAACCCAGCTGCTGGTGCAGGATGTTGAGGGCACATGGTTGCCTGCCTGACACATTAGCAGTATGTTTCACACATGAAAAAATAGGAACTGTAGGGACAGGTTCACACACAACTGAGCAGGGAATCTATAGGATGTGTCATGGCTTCCTGATACACAACCCAAAGGCAGTTGTGGAAAAAAAGTAGTTTAGAATTTACTTAAGAAAACATTTAACGCTACTTTTTACATGTATCTGATAGGGGAGGGGTCATTCTGAATAATGCATTTAAGACATTTTATTTGCTGATTCAAAGATAGGATATAAAAACTGAGTGAACCAACACTCAAAATCAAACTATGAGCTGTAAAACAACAAAAGGTCGTACACTCAAAAGACAGCCGTAATATTGCCGTTTTTGATAATTCTATGTGGGTATCCCTACAAGCAAATCCTTCCACAAATATTGAAGCTATTTGAAATTGAAGCAATGCTGTAGACTTGTTTTTTGGTGCCTTCCCTAGACCTGTGCATGTTCCATGGAGGAAATGTTTGACTCGCCACAGTAGGAAAAGCACAGGTGTAAATAATGACAGTGATTATGGCCGAATTTGATTTCAGCTTCCTGGTATCGTGCATGCTGGCTCCCTATCACTGGGGCACTTGAATAGGAGCTGTCGTTAGTCTTATTCGTAACACCTGGGCCATGTCTGCTGTGAGTGTCTCTGAGCTCGTTATGCATTGTCAGCTGTGAGACCTTTTTATACACAGGTGTGTGCCTTCCAAAATCACGTCCTATCAGTATTATTTACCACCACAGGTGTACTCCAATCAACCGTTTCAAAGATTAGCAAGAGAAACGGGAGGCTACAATTCAAGTGCCATTGCAAAAAGGTCTGTCATTTTATGTTAATTTGGTATTTTCTTTTAATTACCCAAGCTAAAAAATTATCTAAATATTCTGTTTGTCATTTGGGGTAGTTGAGTGTAGATTGATTATTTTATTAAATATTTAGCGTAGTAGTATAACATTACAAAATGTAAAAAAAGGGGGATATACATACATTCTAAAGGCGCTGTAGTCATGTATTCAATTTTCGTGATAATATATTGATTATTACAGACAATTTAACCTGTGTTAACACAGTCGAGGGAGAATGAGGCATTTAAAATTCAATAGAGTGGAGGAAAATTATCCCAGGGAAAAACATTAATCCGTAAGCACTTAACAGGCATAATTGAAATGGCTTCATAAATGGCACATCCTAATCGAAGAACAGTCAGTGTAAAGAAGAACATTGGCCCCTAAGCATGTGTGTTTGGAAATGTAAGCAGTATGTCTGAAGAAAGGAAAGCGGTAGTTGAGCGTGGGCAGGCCTTTCATCTACTAATGAGTGTATTTATTATTTATTTGAAACAAGAATATATGGAGCAAACACATACCTGTTGAGTGATGTTGAGGCACAATCTGCTTGTTTTCATTAAAGGAGCTTTCCCATTACACCAGTGCACCTATGTTAATGTGAGCTGTTGGAAGTCTGGTGGAATTACGGCTGTGGAAAAGAACATCAATCATCTTCAAACACAAAACAAAAAACGAGATGAAAGTGAACTACACGCTGCTCAGTTGAAGTAAACAATTATGTTTTATTGATAAGGTTCTCAGAAGAGTCTCGTTCAGTGAATGTATAAGAATCATCCTTTGATAATACTGATTTGGTACATTATGACATCCAGCACGAGTCTCTTCACAGTGAGAGGGATCCATTACTGCTACTGCTGTTGGGATCTAGGACAGATTAACCTCTGCTTTCCAAACCAAAAAACAGTCAAAAACAACAAACTCGGGGTCGATATTGTAGATATGGAATATTAGAGTGCCACACAACTCTAGAGTAGTAAGACCAGCTAAAGATTTTGCACATTACAAGCCACTTCCTCTTAGAAATATAAAACTTGATATTCTGGACAATATTCTACTGTGCTGCATAAAGGTAGGTCTATACACTGTACATCGAAATATAGCTCGAAAAAACAGATTTCACAGTTTTAAGACTTTATTTAAAGTATAAACCGCTTCTTTTTTTTTTAAACACTTTATTACATAAATTATTCTTTTTGAGAGTGACTATTATTTGCCCCGGCAGCAAACTGAAATTAATATAAAAACAAAATTTCTTACATATTTTACAAAAGAAAATAAACTCATCCATTAATGTTCATTTGGAATAGAACTGGTGACTCATTCATGATTGTCATATAGTACTAAGAATAAATAAATAAAAAAGAATAAAATAAATACTAACTTAGCATGTTTTTTCCGGACTCTGTGAGTGGTGTGTTTGATCATTCTGTACAGAAGTGCCTTGGTGAAAGTCTCACAATTCTACCCGCGACTGAAACGTACAAAACTACGGCAATCTACGATATACGCAACATCCTGAAATTTAGTGAAGTCGGACACATATGTAGTAATATGATTCTTCACCCCATTTTAAAATAAACAATGCTGTGTGATACACTGTTCACAAATATAGCCATCACTTTTTTTACTTTGTTTTTTTAAAAAGTGTTTTCGAGTCCATTAACAGCTTGGTTTTGTTGAAGGATGCCGTTAGCTTGTGTGTTGCTTGGTTGGATGTGCGCTGACTCAGCAGCAGAGGACTGGTCCGTGGTGGACGATGGGAGGCCTGATGACAGGGAGACGACTCATAGTATTGGACGACCTTTAACATTTCCTTTGTGTGTCGCGGTTTAATGACGTCTCCTTTGATGTGTAGTTTGTAATGGCTGAACTCTGGAGTGGCCTTGTCTCCACTTTGGTCCCTTGCGTTCAGTGTATATTAGAGACAGAAAAGCGTTCGCCGCAGAATCCAGCGCAGTACAACTCCACCGCGTGCTCAGTAGCTGTCATGGCCGCCGCTCTCGGTGTGACCCAGAAAAATATGGGCGAAAATATCACTATCTTTTTTAAAAAGGGGAATCTTCTTATTCATTAAGCAACGGTTCTCAAAGTTCTTCAGTGCTTTTTCAGTTGTTCAAAGTTTTTTTCCAAAAAACAACAAAAAAAACATTTGACTAAACTTTAAATGTTTTGCCTGTGGCAGTAGAAAATCAACAATAATATCTTTCATTCTTTTCAAAAGTCCCTGCAGCGTTCCATAATAACCCCTTTTGTTGGTTAATTCTCCGTGGGTTTCGAGAGGAGAGGGGTCCGAGGAGGCTGGGTAGGAAAAAGGAGCAGGATCTAGAGAGTGAAAGGTGGGAGAGAGAGGGAGAGTCTGATGGGCTGTTACCTCTTGCCCATCTCGTTCTGTCTGAGGAACTGGATGTGTTGTTGCTGCTGTCAGCCAGTTCTGGGTACTGCTCCACAGGCAGTACATAGTATCCATCGTAGCCCTGTACTCTGCCCGTTGTTAGGAGCTGCTGTCTCTCCCCCTCCGTCCAGAGGCGACTGCCCCCCTTCCCGTCCCTGGCCCTCTGCTGCTCCTTGGCCCAGGCCCCAGCCAGGGCTCTCTGCCTGGCCAGCTCCAACAGTCTTACCTTCTCTTCGTCCACCACGTCCGCAGCAAGCCCATACCGAACGCTCAGTACTAACGAGGGGAACGGCAAACTCCACAGTCACACCTCTCCTCGACCGGCCGCTCACTGTCACATTGATGCCGCTCTCCAGTGATTTCCGCCCGTTAGTTAGCCCCAAAGCTAACAGGTCACTGTCCGCAGAGCCGACCTTCACAAAGTAGTGGCAGTCCTTGGCGTCCAGGGTGTAGTGGGTGCCTTCCAGGTACTGAGCGCCATTGAGCACCAGAGCCACTTTTACGGCTGTCGTCACTGGCCAGAGCGGACACGCCGGCCACCACCAGGCCTTCCTTCAGAGCCAGCATCACCCCTCGGCTATTATTGGGGTGCTGGTGCCGAACCAGTGACCCGGCTTGTCCTTGCGTCTTCTCCGTTCCTTGTTGAGGAGACGACCCTCCAGGGCCATGAAAGCCTGGTTGTGACGCTCCGCTGCCTGCTGCACACCCGTGATGAGCTACAAGAGAAACAAGAAGAGTGTTTTTAACTTATCTGTGTTGACATAAACATCTGAGCCACTATCACAGGGTTAATATTGGCTTTGATTCTGTCGATGCGCTCCCTACCTGTCCGTTCTCACAGTGCTGGGTGGCCCTGCAGGCTCGTAGGGCGGCTCCACAAAGTAGAGTGAGTGTCGGGGAACCCTGGGATTATGTTGCTGAGCTGGAAGCCAAACATCACCAGCCAGCTCTTCACATCTAAGGCAGACAGGAGGGGGATTAATTAAGTGAAACACACAAATTAATCTTTTTTCCTCATAAAAAAGTGAAAGTGTGTTTGCTTGCTTGACTCATCTGGTGTTATGCAGAGCTATCAGCTACTTTACTATCTGCAATACATTCTACTTGCATATTGTTTCAGCAATTAATCTGATTCTCCTGCCACTCGAGAGATATCAGAGACAATTTCAGGACAGACCGTAACAAGCTAAATTGAGCTTGTTCTGGAGATGTGATTGAATTATGGATCTGCTGTCTGAACAGTACACTGTGGGTTCCATCTGACTATTCTGCTGTATACTCAAAGCCCTGAGAGGCAAGTTTAATTATGGTAATGAATTTCAAGGTCTGATCTCAAATGTTATCTTTTATTTAGAGTTTATGACATAAGAACAGGTGGAATAATCTTTCTTATTTCCTATTCTTTTAAAAAATATATTTTTTTGTAATACCCATTTTGGCCACAGGAGTGCAACAGTACCTCAGGTTGTAAATGAGACTCAAAGCAGAGTTTATGTTCGAAACAAAAGGAACATGTATTATGTGTTAGTAGTATGTCATATCACATTATTGTCTTGTATTTATTTTGGCAGCAAATCTATTTTCATCATCATGTAACTTGTGATAAATATCATTCTGAAAAAAAAGTTTTTATTTTGTTCTCCCCCTATTATTATGTCATAAGCACAGGAGAAAAAAGAATGTCAAATGGATCACTATTTCAGAAATCAGTTTCTAGATACCATGGGGAAATTCATACAACATAATTAGACATTTGCACATTAAAAACATATGAATCCTTTACCTGTGACATAATTTTTGACATCCAGCATGTCACTGAGGGGGTTGTTGTTCTTGAACATGTACAAATTGAACGGAGCGGGATCCTTCCCTATCTTGGGCCAGATGCTGTAATCGGGCGAGGTCCAGCGCCCGGCCAACACGTCGTAGTCCCGCTGGGTGAAGTGGACCAGCTTAGTCAGAGGGTCGTAGAGACCGCCGTGGAAACCCACCACCAGCTGGAATTCCGGGTTCGAATCCAGGTACACTTCTCCGTAGGCTGTGTACTGCACCTGGGTGACACAAGTGGAGAACATTTGCAATGCAGATTAGTTTTAACACCTAATTTAATTTTCTAAGCCGCAAAAGAATGTGAGATTTTGTAAATTACCTGTTTGATCATTTGCCCATTGCTGCTGAAGACTGCCAGCGGTGTGCCAGTGTTGTCAGAAGCTATGTAGTATTCCTCTCCACTGCTCACCTCCATGGCAAACAAATGTCCCTGATCACGAGAAAGTCATAAAATTGAGGGTACAATGTTTTTACTATAAAGTGAAACCTATAAGTATTCAGGTTTCCCGAGAAAAGATTATCAATATATGCAGATTAGTCGGAATATAAGAAGGGATATGTACCTGCAGGTCATAGTAGAGTGATGAGATCTCCGAGCTGGAGTGGTTGAAGATGTGTGTGACCCTGGTGGGGTGGTTGAGGTTAGCATAGAAGAACTGCAGGTGCTGCCCCAGGCTGTTCCTGGTGGACACCCTGCGACCCAGCCCATCGTAGTGATACACCACGCTCCAGCCTCCGGGGCCCCGATTGTAGGCCCTCAGCAGCCTGACCTTTGGAGTTTGTAGTCAAAGACGTCTGAGCCGCGCTGGCTGAGGTAGCCGTCCTTCATCCACGCGGTACTGGACGTCTCCCAGGCGCGTGATGCGGTCTCGGAGGTCGTAGCGGAGGCGGGCAGGATGCGGCGCGCTGTTCCCGGGGTTCAGCAGATGGAGGTTACCGTTCAGGTCGTAGCTGTAGCGCCAGGTGGACCAGTCATTCACCTGAGAAAACAAGGGAGTTGAGTTTTGGTCTATTGGAATCATGGCCTGACAGGTTAGAGTGGTCTTAATTCAACATTAACAGCCTTAATGTTGGTGCTTCACTAGGGAATCAAGATTCAACATCAGATACTTTAATAAGTCGATAATAAACTGTGTAGCCAACCACAGACATTTCAAAGAAACTCTCCCAGTCTTTGGTATATAAAAAAAAAACCGTATTTAACCAACCTGGTATTTATGGGATTTATAATAACTACTAAATATTTGTTATTTAATATTAGGAGTTGGTTGATAAAAACATGTAAATCAGTGATATATATATACACCATTTGTTATAGCCTTTTTAGGGGGGGTGCTGTTTTTAAAACTTGACAGTTGAATATAATAATTCTTCAAAGTTCATGTATTTGCAAAAATCTCTCAAAATATCTCAGATTTTGAAATTAAATAAACACATGTACTTCTTAACATTTAGAGTACAGAAAATATTTACAATTTAGTGGATCTTTTTCTCACAAAAAGCAGGTAAACAAAATGGCATTTCAAAGTCTAATTCTGATAATAAAAAATTCTCTAGTTATTAGGAAGGAGGTTGTTTAAAATATGAAAGTGGAATATTACAGACTAGTTTTGTGTCGTTTCATTTTTGACTCAGAACTTTTTTATCCTCAGAACACTTTAATAAAGTGCAGGCAGGGTGAAGATGCTAAAGATAAGACAGTGCTTAAAAAATCTATATCAAAGAGTACAAACTCTCTCCAAACAAAAATATTCACCTTGACGCCGCTGAGCTGTCCGTCTCCATCATAATCATAGCGGTACTGAGTGGTGTTGGCGTAGGGCCCGATTTGAGTTCTCCTCTTCACCACCCGTCCCATGCTATCATACTGATACTGCAAAACCGTCATCCAGTACATCAGCGAGCGGAAGATCTCGTACTGGACCTCCTTGATGCGACCGTGGGTGTCAAAATGCTTGCTCAGCGTCATAACGGCAGTGGTGATGATTTGATTAATGTCGTAGTAAATGACCCCAAACTTTCCAAAGTGCTCCACCTGAAAGGTTTAGAGAAAAGATGAGTCAGTGGCTGCCAAAAAATGTACATCCACCAGACAAATGTGTTTTTGAAATATATATTTTTGTACATCATTGCTCAAAACTAATGAAAAGTAGACTAGAGGAAACATTTTGGCACCTTTCCAGAGATCTCGTCGTATCGGTATAGGTCAACAGGAAGTGGCGTCTCACTGATGACTGGCTTCATGCTGGCGATGCGGAAGCCTGTTGTCGTGGTAGGTGTAGTCGAACCTGGCGTTGACCTTCCTCCTCGCTGAAGCGGTAGATCTGCTTGTCGATGAGCGGGCCCATTTTGCGATAACGGATGGTGCAAGAGAAGCCCCCGCTTTGCAGGTTGACCATCTTCAGCACGCCGGCCGTCTCGTCGTAGCCGAAAGTGACGGCAGTGCTGTCGTACACGATCTCGGACAGCTTGGCCAGCTTGCCGTACTTGTAGAGGACGCGGCGGCCGGTGCCCATGAGTGCGTGGGCCTGAGGTCGGCCGTCCTCACTGAAGTCGTGGATGATTGGAGGCGTTGCTCTCTGGAGGGTTGTAGTGTTGCGGATGAGCCCACTGACACGTGTGTGAACATGGTGTGGCGGGCCACGCTGGGCATGGTGACCGCTGTGACACGACCGAGGCGGTCAAACTCAAAGACGTACTGTCTCTGGCTCTGCAGCAGCAGCACCATGGACTGGGAGCAGAGAGGGATGGAAATCCGGATTAATATAATAGCATTATCAATGGATGACTTGCCTCCCGTGAATATCACCGGCAGTAATTTGCTTTCAACTGACACATTTTCATAACCATGAAAATGATGTATTACTCCATTAAATTCTGCAATTCAAATTGCTATTCATTACATGTTACTTGTTAGACGCTTTTATCCAAATACTGTGGACAATCCCCACAGGAGCAATTTGGGATGAATGTGTCTCAGGGACACAACGACATGCGGACTGCAGTGGGGTTTGAACCTGTGCTCCCCCTGATCCAAACCACCAACGCACTATTCACTGCGCCACACGCCTATTCCTGCTTACCTTGATTTGATACCTAGATGACAATGTGACTTACTTTGTCAAGGTAGCTGTAGCTCCACACCTTCCATCTACGAAAGAAGCGAGACAGGATGCGTCCCTGGGGGTCAAACTCGGTCTTCTCGCTCATGCTCCCCCTCTGCAGCCCGACCAGCTGTCCAGTGGTAGAATAGGACACATTGACCACCGCCAGGCTGCTGCTGGGCAACCACATGGCTGGCCGGCCCTGAGCGTCATACATGATGCGCAGCGTGAACTTCCGGTGGTCATCGTAAATCTTCTCTGTGCGCGTGTTGCGGTCAAAGTCGATAGATAGAAGATTGCGACCATGAGCCTAAAGAAAAGGGGGGAAAGGAGAGGTTTATTTAATCTTCAATGTCATTATTATATCTAACAGGGGTGCGGTGACCAAGACAACTCACTCTGAGCTTCCTCCCGAACACGGTGACCCTGCCCTTGGTCTGCTCCTTGCGCAGACGCCATTCAATGGAGTTGAGGCCGTTGTCAGTGGGCAGGGTGATGTTCCTGCGGCCAATCGTAGGGCTGACGGAGCCTGCCAGGAGGTGGGGCTCGGTGTGAAAGCTGATGCCCATACCATTGGCGTACATCACTCTCAAGGTCCCATTGTTGCACAGCTGGTAGCTGTTCCTCACCTGGTCTGTAGGGGGAGAGAAACAGGTATAAGGGAGTCAAGGACAGAAGCCACTAGGAAGACCAGATGATCTTGGTTGTAAAAATTAAGTTATTAATACAAGAAAATACAATTTAATAGGATAGTTTGGATGTTTGAGGTGGGGTTACATGAGGTACTTATGTCAGTATAGTAGATGGCAGTCAGCATGCTCCCAGTAAAAAGTCTGAGAGGAGTTAAGACATGGAAGCTAAGAAATGTACTGCAGCGATGTAGGAGGCAGACAAATGTATTTTAGCCACTTAAAAAAATGGCCAACGTAGACAAATATAAAAAGTCGTAAGAGTGCACTTTATTAAGAGAATTTTCACCACTTTACCTTGCCTCCTCAAAGCTCTTTCCATCAGGGAACTGAAGCCATTACATCCATCTATGTTCTAGCTAAAGCCACCTACATCTATAGAAATAAACAGCCATTCTACTTGATGATTGGGAAATAATCAAAGTCTCACAATTACACAAACTATCCCCTGCAGTCGTTCATAGCAATACATTGGTAAGCTTCCGTGCCATTACTCCTGCCTCCACAGTACTTCATACAAAACGTTTTTTTAAATTTGTATTTGCCTTCTGCTGGAAAAATCAAGTTAACTAGAGAAGGAAAAGTACAATCTTAAGCCGAGAAGCTTGTGTCAGTAAGACCCAAATGATGTCTATAAAATATTTATGGACCTGATTCCTCTTTGTACAAACTCCAAAGTAATCTGAAGGAAAATAGTCAGGCTGAACTGACTCTATCTATAATCTGCCCATCTTTACAGTTTAATGACTCACTCGCAAACACAAGAATGGAAACAGATAAGCCCATGCCTAATGCTGAGGCAAAATGTTCCCTCAGATGTCTGAAAACAAGCATCCCGATCACACGATGCGATTGAAACGAGATAAAATAGTTTTTTACGCTCAGAAATATCTGGCGGATGCGGAAAGAAGGCTTTTCCCCCCTTATAATTTCATTTACAAAAGGTTAAGGGATCAGATAGTGTCTGCATTTGAAGCCCCTCTATAAATGACAGTAATCCATAAGGCCAATTTGTAATAAAGCTCCAGGCACATTTTTAACAATGCCTCAAACAGACAAGTGAAGCTTTTTCCATTGACTTGGCAGCAACGGCCTTTAGATAAATCTTCTTTGCTCTCTCTGTCTGAACGACCTCGTAATAAAACAGAAGCAAGGGAGAGGGGGAGAGAAACGAGAGCTGGAGGGCCGGCGAGAATTCACTGTGCATGAGTTAATGAAGAGAGCGAGGAAGAGAGGGAGATGGTTAAGTGAGTATGTCAGCAGAGAGCTGTGCTGAAACCCACACAGTGCGGTGGAAGCCTTAAATGACTTACAGCTCTTCGAACAACTCTCCCCCCTTTTCCTTCTGCAACGCAGGTGGATTTAGCTGAATACATCTACAACTTATTCTCTCCGAGGCCTTCACACTTTCACAGTCTACTCACACTTCTGTCACGCCACTGGTCAAGGAAACATTATTCTCCTTCTTCTCCTTCCTCTTTAAAGAACCAAATAAGCTCAGGGATCATGGGGGAAAAAAGTAGAGGGCTGTGTTTTTAAGTTCTACGCATGTGCGTGAGAGGAGGAAGCTTGAGGGATGAGGAGGATTCACCCCGTGTGAGTTAATGCATTTTTTTTTCTGTGATGATATTCAAAAGCAGGATGATCCCAGCTGGGATTAGCAGCTATATATTGGTAATTTCACTCCATGACAGGTAGGGAGAAGAGGGTTGGATGTGGAAAGGAAAATTATTTCCTGGAGCCGGCTCACAGCGGAGTGAAAATTACAAGACTTTCAATTAGAGTCGGCAGGCCGGTGCATATTCACCATCACTGAGGGCGGCTATGTTTTGAATACTGAGATGAAGTAGCTTTAAAGTCTGCCAAAGCTCAGACTACATAAAAACAGACCCACTTTATTGGCTGCTCTATAATTAATTAATATCATAAATATTGATTGATTTATATTGCCCTGTGTTGATGACTAGAGGCAAGCATTTGTCCACCTTCGTGCCACATCCTCTGCAAGTGTTTAAAAATTCATGAGCGGCTCGTTTTTCCCCTGCACGTCCTGTTTGTGCGGCTGAGCGAGTCTCCCTACCTTGGACCACGGTGTACGAGGCTTCGACGGAGGACAGGTTGGTGATGACGGTGACATCGTCGTCTCTGCTGGAGCTCTCGATGTCGATGTTGATGGAGCGCTCAATCTCACGGTGGAGGCTCGTCACCATGCCCGTGGGGTACGTGACGTTGGTCAGGCGGCCCTCGCTGTCGTACCTGGGGGACGGGAGCAGAGCGGTGAGGGGAGGACGACATGTATCGGAGGACAAAACTGAAGGATACTGCCACAGAAAACACACTTAATTTAGAAATTCAAAACTCCATGTCAAGGCTTTGTATCTTTCATTTTCATACCACCTGATGTTGTAAATATTTGTCCTTCACATGTTTTGGACACACTCACAAACTCAAAAAGTAACATTTAGTTCTGAAACTATCATTTTTTTTCATCAATTCATTCATATTTTATAGATGAATTAATGAATTGATCTATTGAATCAATGTGATGTCTTTTAATGTTTAGATTTGTCAGTCTAACACCAAAGATGTTCACTTTTATATAATTTAACACAGAGTAAAGCACTAAACCTCAATGTTTAAAAGGCTGAATACAGCATGTTCTGTAATTTTTGCATTAAGCCAACGAAAACTCCTGATCAAAAGAGCAAATATAATCTTTATGTAAATGTATCATTTGGTTATTTAACTAATCGTTGGCAGCTCTAAAACCTTTTCTAGTCATCCTTAGAGGAACTGGCTGCAGTTGTAAAAGCTAACTCCGGGGGGCAGCAGCACGCTGTGTGAGTTGTCAGAGGAATAATTGGGAATGCAGTAGAACATGGCGAACATAAAACCTGTGAACTCATTAATTTTGTATTTCAGGCTTGTAGGAAAAGTGGTGGACACTCTCCCAAACACTCACTGGTAAAATGTGGTCCATCCAGTCTCATCAGCTTTGTAGCCAGGAGGCCCGTGTTGCCACTGGTAGCCCATCAGAGCCACTTCCTGGCCCATGGCTGACACGCTCCGCAGCCCTCCGGTGGGGTCCAGTCCCAGCATCACCACCTGATTCTCTGGGAGCAGCACCAGTCGGAGCAGGCCGGCCCCCCCTCCCTGGCCCTGGCCGTCCCTCCTCACCTTCACTGTGTTGTTGCAGTTATCCACCAGTGTGGCCAGCTCTCCGTCAGGAGCCATAGGTGAAGTTGTTAAAGTGGCTCACCAGTCACTAAGCTGATTGTCTGGATGTGAAGCCCCTCCCCATTGAAGACATACAGCTCCTGTTCCCTTGGCGATGCGACCTCATACTGCGCAGCTCCTCCGAATCCAACGCTGGAGACGGGCGGGGGCCCGGCCTGTTGGCTCGCACGGCCCTGATGCGAATGTTGTTGAGGTCTGCGATGAAAAGGGGTCCCATCAGGGGACACGGCCAAGGATGTAGGCGAGTTCAAGCCGGCATCTGGGGCGTAGCCGTCATCGCCGTAGAAACAGTTGCAGTTGACATCATTCTTGCAGTCGCAGTCGGAGGCGACGCCAGCCAGGAGAGAGATTTCTCCATTGGTGCTCACCTAGGAAAAAAAATGACAGAAAAATACAATTACAAAAAAACAAAAGTCAACAAGCAATGAAAGAAAATGTCTCACCAAAAGCGCAACTCATTTTGTGTTATCAAAACAGAGGGATGTAGTGTCTGTAGATCTGAAACAATCTCAGAATGCCTTAAAAAAATAGAAACACCCACGCAGCCCGACCAGCTGTGCTGTCAGTTTTTGCTTGCCAACAAAATACGCCCAACACATTCATTCTAAAACAACAGGGCTGAAACAACTGTGTACAGCTTTTCTCCATCTCATACCTGTCTAACTCTGTTGATCTTTTTCTCATCCGTCTCGGCGATGTACAGGATGCCGGTGTGTGACAGGGCGATGGCGGTGGCGCTCTCCAGGGCCGCGTGTATGGCCAGCTTACTGAGGCTGTAGTCGATACCCGGCACTTGGCAATGCATGGGCCGACCTGCGATGATGCTCACCTGTGGGCAAGGACAGAAAATCGATGATCAAACTGATAATAATATCCCCAAATATAAAGAAGTGCGCAGCCTTTTCTCTCTAAAACACCTGCGGTTAAACTCCCCATAATGAATTCCAGAAAGTATAATATTCCAAGAGCTAATTAATCAGTAACGTTACCGCCAGTGTGAAACTTTGAAAACCATGTTTTAACTTTTACTTCTAAATTGGCTTGAGAAAAGCCTAATTGGGACTAAATCCTGTCACAGCCACCCTAAGGGTCTTGCCGGGGCAATGGAGCCTTGTGGTACAGACCTGGTGGTTCTCAGTGATGCGTAGGACGACATTGTTTTCCAGGATATAGAGAGAGTTGTCCATGGGGTTCACTGCAAGGTCCGTGGGCCACTCGAGACGCACCTAATTTGTAGAAAGAAAAGTTAACCGTGAGATAATATATATGCTGAAGGAGGCGTTTTGAAAGGACGCCAAGGTTCGCACAAGTCTCTCTCTTTTTTAAGTGACTGCGGTCTTCACACTCTCTTCTGATCCATTCATTTATCCAGTCTCTTTAATCCCCCCCTAAATCAGTCCCCTCCCTGACCTCCTGGCGCGTGTCCACACAAGCTCAGCACTCACTGGGCCGTTAGATCATCATCCATCACACCATCACCCCAAGTGTCTCCTGCACTTCCCTCTTATGACCGACGTACCTGGCTGACGTCCATGCTGGAGTCACAGCTCAGCGGCCGCACGGCAGTCAGATCGTTGGCCCCCAGCAAAGTGGAGATGATGCCGTTCTGATCCACCTTCCGGATCATGGTGGCATCCACGAAGTACATCAGCCCGTTTTTATCCACAGCAATACCTGTCAACGCAGAGATGAACACCGTGAGTGACGATTCATAACTCAAACGCTGCGGGGCAACCCAAAGACATTTTAAGTCAATTAAACCGCACTCTTTCTAACGGCTGGAAACGGATGGCAGCCCGACAGCCCGATTGCTCAATGCTTCATTGGATGACACTGAAACAAGTGATGTGAGGGGCATTGAACTGTTAGAGAAGTGTTAGTTTTGGGATGAGTCATCGGGATGCGGAGCCGAGCTCATGCTCCTCCCAGAGGGCGAATGTAGATTGCAAGCAGATTCTTTAGAAAAAGCAAGTGATCTGTTGCACTCTATTTCCTTCCTCGGTTTCTCCTTCCTGCTTTCTTTTTTTGTTCTTGCCCCTCCACCTTTTCTACCTTGTCTCTTCTCTTTCTCATCGTTTACAAGTGGTGCTGTGTCTGCCTCGTCGGCCTAACAGGCAGCAGGCATTCAAGACAGGTGTGTTTGTTCGAGGCAACTGTGCCCCGAAATAACTCCTAGACGCAACGAGATACACAACAACAGATGGAGGATACAGGGAAGGGCAGAGTGTAAATGAGAGAAGGATGGATAAGGCAGAGAGAGGGCAAGCTGATGCGTGCTTTCTGACTTTTCCTACGACAAGTAAGAGTGAATCAGGGTCTCATTGTCTTCCTTCATAAACACACACACACACTGTGTGTGAGTGTGAGTGTGTATATATATATATATATATATATATATATACGTACTATCATCTGAAGTCCTACATACACACACTGGTGTCAGAGCCAGGAAATGTGAGAGTGACATCCTTGACAGTTTGGTGTCACAATGTTCTGTGATCCATAAAAATAATTCCATTAATAAGTTCAACGTTAACCTGGTTTATAACCTCCTTCTGTGTCTGCCCTGCTTTAGTTGAGTCACAAGACGGGCACATTTTAACATGGCACTTTTTAACATGGCATTTTAAGAATTCACCTGAATGCAACAATTTATGATACCTTAATCATGGCTCTGTAATCATAACCAGATATATACGTAATTGGCTCCCTACCTAGAGCTGCAACTAAGGACTAGTTTCCTCATAAATTCAATAAAAGTCAATTAAATGTCACAACTTTCCTCCACAGGGTTACCAATTGAAATGTCTTAGGTCCAAAAAACACATTTAAAAAAGCGAAAATAAATCATTAACCTAATTCATTCCTTAGAGTTTTTGCTAGTGGCTCACCTTTGGGGCTCATAAGTGTAGCTTCAGTGGCTTTGCCTCCATCCCCGCAGCGCTCATCAAAAGGCAGGCACTGCTCCCCGGTCCCAGCAACCACCTCTGCATTGTCCGACAGCAGGCGGCCTCCCGTTAATGAGCGCACGCGGTAAATTCTGCGCGAGTTAGTGTCCGAGATGAACAAAGCCCCAGATACTGGATCCACTGCCAGGAAGTACTTATGGGTCGGGTTGTTACTGAAGGCGACATGAAAAGAAAATGTGATCAGTGAAAAGCTTGATTTTATATGAAGCACTTTTTCATTGTTAACTTTTCTTTTATAGTTGTAAGGATCTTACCTGTGTCTGAAATCTTTGTTCCTTTGAGGAAGGAAGCAAGACAAAAGCACAACAAAAACACATTTTAATTCACACAGTCTGCGGAGAGCAACCTACAGAGAGCAATACAAAGCTGGCTGTGGTGTGAACAACAGCATTTAGCCATGGGTAAAAACACCCTGGAGAAAATCTAGTACATTTCCATCCCCAGTGTCTCACTTTACTTTTTTTTTATAGAGGATGCAATCCTTCATGTTCAATGTACTGAACATATCTATTTTCTCCCTCTGCGTCACCTGTCATCTTACTTAATCTAACAAGCCAATCCATCTAAAAACGTGTAAGCTTTCTAATGATTATACCTTAATTCCAGGATGCCAGTTGTGTTCATAGATGGGTAGACCCTTCGCACAAAGTTGAGATCCCCGACATATATGCTACCATCGGTGCCCATTGCCAAGGCGACCGGTGCCAGCAGCTTGTTGCCGTCTGCCAGGCCGTTACAGCTGGGGCAAGAGATACTGCGCCTCCGTCCGTTTCCCATGATGCTGAGGACCACCGGGGGCTGCTCGGTCACGAAGATGTTCTCAACCACTTCCCTTGTGAAGGACGCCTGGACAGGGCAGAGGGTGGAGAGAAATAAGACTAGATTCAGGATCATCATTTAAATTAGATGATCTGTGGTAACACTCAGTTTAGAGCAATAGAAGCTGTATCTCATATCTCAACATTTAGAGGGGGGTGCCAATAAATTATGTAAAGGCAGTAATGGTCCCCCGAAAAATTATATCTAATAACTTTGATGGTCCCCTGAACTTTAATCTCAAATTGCCTTTAGGTTGACATTTGTGTGAGCAGATAAAATATCTTAAAAACTATTGGATGGATTCCTATTAAATTGGTGCAGACTTTATGTCCCCCTTTAATAACTTCAGTTTTCATCTAGTGCTATCATTGAGGTCTAACTTTGTATTCGTCAAATACCAAACTAACAACATTCCCACCATGTTCTGTATTATTTTCCTCAAATGCAAGCTAACACTACGATGGTAAACATTAAACTTTCCAAATATCAGCCAGTATGCATTGTTATTGTGAGCAATGTTAGCATGTTAGCATGATGTCAGGCGTGTGGTGTTGTGCATTGGTGTTCCGATCAGGGGGCCACAGGTTCAAACCCCACTGCAGTCAGCATGCCGTTGTGTCCCTGGGCAAGACACTTCACCCCAACTTGCTCCTGTGGGATTGTCCACAGTATTGAGTATGTAAGTCGCTTTGGATAAAAGCGTCTAATAAGTAACATGTAATGTCAGCTTGAATAGGTTGCTAGCGTGGCTGTAGGCTCTTTATAGCCAAATATATATTTTTTCTTGAGGCTCACAAGCAGCTGATATTGTATATTTTTGGTTTAACATTAGCCCTTCCAAAGTAAAACAGTGTACAATTCACCTTTTTCAGGAAAAACATACTTTTACTGTAGAGCTGGCTAGCATAAGGTAAAGAGGAAGGCTTGGCTTAATTTCCCCCACTTCTAAAAATACCACCAATGGTTCTCCAGTTGTGTCCATTCCATTAGTGAATTGATTGTCACAGCAGGTGAACATTGGTGCATCAGCCCATTGATATTGCCCTGCTTTTTAGTATCACTGTGTAGGTAATGGTATGTTAGATGATGCAACAAGAATGACTCCCCCTCGCCTAGAAATCAGTTTCTGGAAAACGTACATTATCTCTGCTCCCCCACCCTCTTCCACTTCCCTACCCCCTGCCTTTGTTTCAGTAGCTTTTGCTAATTGGTTGGTGACGGGGCACATGTTTACTAAGTTGGGCTGGCTTGGATGAGGGTTTCAAACTAGGTGAGGACAACTCAAGCATTTCCTGTGAAAAATCCACACCGACAGGTAAAAAGAGGCTCTTGGCAATTGCATGTGAACCACAGGAAGCAAACTGACTTACCTCCTCCCCAAGACAATAGCACGTTTAGTGAGATATACAGTACTGTAAACATGTTCAACACACGGGGGAATGACTAAAAATACATTTGAAGTAAAGCATGGAAAAATATGTCCTTTGCTTATTAGTGAGGGAATATACACATAGGGCGTGTGTGAACGTACCACTGCGTGTGTTGAGTATATGATGCTTGTCGAGTGACCAGCCGCCCAGACTGGTGGGATCCAGTTCGTAGCCTTGCAGAAGGGCTGTCCTCTTCTCCCCAGAGGATGAGATTGGCACAGGACTCGTATTCATAGCCCACAGACACTACATGTAGGAAGGATACAGGTGAGAGGAATAGATGAAAAAAGAGTTGAGTATCAGAGAATACATACAAATGAACAACCCAGTCTCACGGCATTTCGTGTTATAGTCACAACATTAATTTAATCTATTGATTTGTGTTCACAGGACGATTGTTAAAGCAATGTATTTCTATTGGTAGTATGTTTCGTGCCTGCACCACGTCTTTTTGTCCGGTAGGGGTCTTGGAAGACCGAAGCTGTGTGGTTCATAAAAACATTTTCTTACTCAATATCTTACCCTAGGCCTAACCCTATCCCTTTTATTTTAAATTGTATAATGTCTGAGTTTTTTGCCGTCTGCGTGGAAAAGAAATGGGGCTCAGAGCCTCAGAATACTGAAAATCTGTATTTTTTGTCATCTTTTTTTCCTTCTAATTTGTTATTAATTGGTGCAGGCACGAAACATATACTAATAGAAATACATTGCTTCTAAATCGTCCTGAGTGAAAAAAAATGAGAAAATCGTGTTGGTGAACACAAATCAATAGATTAAAATCGCTCCTGTGTCAGAATACTGAATCTGTATTTTTTTTAATCAGTTTTTCAGTTTTTCCTTCTAAATTTACATTGCTTTTAAAATGGCGAAATCGTGTTGGTGAACATGAATCAATAGATTAATTTTGTGACTATAACACGAAATGCCGTGAGACTGTGTTGAAATGAAACAGGAAGCGAGGATGTGCAAAACTTGATCAATCAGAGCATATTCCTCCTAAGGTAATTAAGTTGTGAGTTGACGTGTGATACACAGAGAAGCTAGTTAGCACCTGTACCGAAACCTGCACTCGCACCTAACTAACACTCTCACAAGCTGCTAAATCAATTAAAACCTTGTTAATTGGGCAGATTAGCCGTGCGCGCGGGCCTTTAAATGTTTGCCAAGAAGTGAACCCTGATGCACATGACCGAGCCTCAGCTGATTTGGCTAAGTGTACAAAAAAAAGGAACATTTGTTATGATGACAAGTTAAGACAAGTTTTTTGGCGCATACGTACGTGTATTGTACTGTATGTGTTCATGCATGTGTTCGTTGTTATGTTTAAAACTTGTTAAAACAAAATGTGTGTTAACACATCAACTCCCACCTGAGTTACAGTGAGAAATTATCTTGCCAGCACATTTCAGCTTTACTGCAAACAATAATGTATTATACCTGCATCTGTATCCAAGCTTAGCAAGACATAACTTAATCGTAAACATTGTATTTGAATTCGAGAGCTTTGAGAAACGTCAATGTACAGCTACTCTAGAGAAGTATGGGATCTTTGAGTGAATGTAATTTCCCAAACAGTGTGTCCCTGTTGATTTTACTCCACACTGAGGTCCCAGATGTCCACTGCATCTGTGGCCTGACAGCGGTGTTTGGCTGACAGCATCTGTGAGCGACTGTGACAGCAGAATGTAATAGCACTGAGGCTCCCCTGGACCCATGCTAGATGTTCCAGCAGCTAACTGCTAACTCACCCTGATGGCTAATAACCCTTCACCACAGTTACGGCTGGCTGAATGAACCAATCGCGGCTTCAATGAAAAGACGTATGAGAAAAAACAAAAGGCACTTAACTGTGACTACTTCCTAATGGATGGAGGCCGGGTTTCTGGCTTATTAACTCTCCTACAGGCTCCCTAATTAGCCCTCTCCCTCCCTTTGTCATAGCCAGTGCTGGCTTACTGGTAAAGTTTCTAGTCAACTGAAAAAAAAAAAGGAAACACTTATAACTGCTTCTCTTCTGTCCACCCCTTAAAACTCACGGATGGATTACTGAACAGATCTCGGCATCATGTACAGGCAAAAAAAGTGTCAGGCCCAACCCTTTAAAAAAAGACACATATACTACATACAACTAGCAATAGAACCAAAATGACCTAATAGTAACATTACAATTATCTCAGAGACACAAAAGGGTTTCAAAGACTTAAACCAACTACAAAGAAACCAAAGCAACTACAAAGAGGCACAAAATAACCACAAAGAGACTTAACAACTAAGATGTGCAAAATGACAAAAAGGGGTATAACAACTACAGACAAAAAACTACAAAAGACAAAGAAAATAATTAAATTTGAATAAAAAATTAACACAAACATAAAGTAAAATGAGATCCACATTTTTTTCATAGGGACAAAAGTTGATTACAAAGCTAAAAATTAAACAAAGGGGCTTAAAGAAACTAAAAACTACAAAATGAAACAAACTGACCACAAGGACACAAAAGTTATTTGTAACATGTACGAAGAGAAACAAAGTGTCTTAACAGCTTTAAAGTGGGTGGTGGGACCTTTTGTATATCTGTTGACAGAGCCCATTTGTCTCATAATCTGCCAATGCTTCCACTCACCAACAGCTTGAGATAGCCCGTAGACCCTCTGCCCATATGCGTCGGTCTTATCCCAAATGTAGGTGTAGGCCAAATTGGGGCGAGGCATGGAACCACTTCTGGAAAAGATGGCCCTCCACTGCTACCCATGAGGTGAACCTTCAGCAGGCCCATGGACACCACCGCTGGGGTCATGGTCACCTTGAGCAGGGAGCGGTAACCCTGAGTCCTGGAGCTTAGGTAGCACAGCTTTAGACTCGAGCCGGGCACCTCGATCAGCTCATGCAGCACCTGGAAGACAAAGAGAGAAGATGACAGGGGAGGGGGATTAGGCGGGATTAGAGAGAGAGGGAGTAATGGGGGTCACGCTTCCAACTGACGCTGAAGGACAAAAAAGGGGAAAAAACAATGGAAGAAATAAAGAAATAGGGGAATAAATGGGGGGGGGAGGGGAAGCTATGGAAGTGAAAGAGAGGAGATAGACAGGAGAGTGGGAGATTAGCCGGCTGCCAGAGGTCAGTGGTACTGCACCTGTGTCTCCGGTATGATGGGTTTCTCCCCTGGCTTGGAGCTGAAGAAGGAGGAGAGAGGGGATGCAATCACAAGAGGGTCAGGCCTGACGAAGCCGCTCAGGTCACAGCCCGGGATCGTGTTCTCTTCTGTCTTAAGCACCAGAGTGTCCATAGCATAAAACTGGCTCCAGGGCAGCCACACGGTGCGCTCCTGGCTCAGGAAGGGGGGCGCGCTCGAACCGCAGAGTCAGTGACGCACCACCGTTAGCTATCAGGTCAAACCTGGAGAGGTTTAAAAGAGGATGGGGAATGAGGTACAGATGGGGACGTGTTTGTGGTGGACGAACATTGGACTGTCAGTGTTTCTAGTAAAGGCTAAACTCCACTGCTTTAATTTAACAACAAAATGAAATAATTGTACAAATAACTTTAGCTACACATATAGAAAGACAGTCTAGACAACAGTTAAAGGTCTGAAATGTAAATAGCACTCAAGAACACTGGTCTCATTGTGTAACAGATTGTATTAGATGCTCTTTAACTTTTTGTCTCCGAATGATGATTAACAGCTGTAGGGTAATGATTAGAATAGGAAAAAAAAGGTTGTAAATGGCCAGAGCTTTTTAAGTGTGTGGACTCGCTGCTGCCTCCAACCACTGCAAGGAAATAACACTCATCAGAACTAAACAAGGTCAGACAGGGACATGAGAACATGTGCATTCAAGTCATAAGTCTCTGAAACTGGTTAGTAACTGCCCCTGAAATGCAAATGTAATTAAATGTTACAAAAGTTCAGATGTTTCAGCGGCAGCTCGGCCTTAGTGGAAGAAAATGCTGCAAGGAAAGCGTAGGTAAGAGGAGGAGACCTGAGACAGGAAACACAGAAATTGTACATTTAATGAATAGGGGTCAGCTTAAAGCACCAAAGAAACACATTTTCAAATAACGTGTTACGGGTGCCAGCCAGACTTTAAATTCAATAAAACTTGTAGGGGAATATTGGACAGAAAAGTTAAATTGAAGCAGCATAAAATTCCCTGAAAGTGGAGCTCCTGCAGGAGAAAGGGAGAAACATGTCAGGTGAGATACCCAAATGTGGTCAGAAGGTGGATATTAAAGCAAAGAGCTGCGGTACTTAAAAATCCAATTTCAAGGTTGCTTTTCAGTTTTGCTTTAAAGGTTTCTTTGACGGCCTGTCATTCACTTTCACATATTAAAACATGTTTATTTCAAGTGAAACTTCTGCTGTTATAAAACCTGAGATAATGCCTTATTAATTATAAATAATAACGTTTTTTTTCCAGCAATTATTCTGACTGGTTCACAATATTGTATTATTTATAGTGTTTTTTATATTCTTGAACATTTTACCCATTGTTTTTCATTCAATTTTCCTTTCCGTTATGATTCTTATTAATATATTTTCACTTAGGATATTGAGTTTTGACTCCCAGTTGTGTTGTTCTTGTAAATACATCTCCTCTTCTCTTACTCAAAATCCCCTTTCTTTGCTGTATCTAATTATCTATTGCTGTAACAGCCAAGATTCCTCAAGGGCTTATTATTGTTTTCTAATCTAATCAAATCTAATCTAATCTAATAATAACGCCCATGTGGTGAGGTAGATTCAGGCAAGGAGCGCTGGGTAGCTGTTGTACATACATTCCATCCTGCCGTGTCAGCGTGTATCCGTAGTGGGGATAGTTGACAAAAGATACGTTCACCCCCACCAGAGGGGTTCCATCTGTAGTCAACACCTGACCCCGGATCAGAGATGCCAAAACTGGAAGGAGACAGAAGAGACAGAGTGAGAGAGCGATAGTCAGCCCAATTTTCCTAACCATCCATCATCTGGTTTGATTAATCTCACCATCTTTCAATCATCCAATTTGCCCATTCATTGCTCCGGTCTTCCACCCCTCATTAATTAGAAACAATCAGCAAACTCCGCCATCTAGATTAGCTCTTGTCAATCATGTATACAAAACATGGCAATGTGGGATGTGTGTGTATGTTTGCGTGTGACTGTGTGCCTTGGAGAACTGCCACATATAGAATAACATATAACTTCACTTTGATGAGCTTTCCTTTGAAACATCTGATGTAGGCGTGTGTAAATGTGTGCAGACAAGAATCAGCCCCATGGACAGCGCTTCACAGCTCTGCTAAATCTGCGGGGAGATCTTGGCTCGCCCCTGCTTTGGCTCTGGGATTTGATAGGACCTTGGCGGGCTCTGTGAACCATTCTAAAGTCTATTTGATATTTACGTCATTGGATCTAAAGTTGTGCTATTTTCAACCGCATGCATTTACTCGTATAAATGTCAGACCTTCGCGGAGCATCAAAGCGGCAATATTCTCAAACATGCAATCTCACAGGCATAGACCCCTTTAACATGATTGGCCAGCATGAGCATGACATACATACATTTTCCTAGTGCGTACATCAAATAATATGTCCACCTTGTCTAGCTAATATAGCACCATGAATCCTAATGTGGTTTTCTTGCCATACCTCGAGTTGAAAGGGTTTTTCCCCAGGGAGGATATGGGTGCTGTCCCGTCCCACGAGCATCTTGACGCGGTCGTAGAAGGAGCGGACGCGTGGCTGGGACAGGGGGTTCTGCTGGATGACCAGGAGGGGGTCCCGGGAGCCCGCGGCACAAGCGGGCTGTTCTGGCAGGGGACTCTGGATGCAGCAGTCTGGGTCCATGCAGTCTGTGAGTCCATCTGGGAGAGCAGTAACGAGGTTGTGGTGTGAGAATAGCAAGGAATGCAAAAAAAGCTACAGCCAACTTTTCCATTCCTGATTTAATATTTGATAATCTTTGATTCTTCGTAAAGGCATTCATAGTGAGAGCTCTTCTGATTAGCTCTCTATCTTAATTTACTTTTCTTGTCTAACTTGTTTATTTCTTTCACAAGCAAGAGATAAAGGGCAGTTCCTCCCACCTGTAGCTACATTAAAACAACATGGAGTTTCGCTTGTTGTGCTCCAAGTTCGGAAAAATACATGTGTTACTCTAGATAAAAGCTTGTTCTAAGCGGTTTTATGTAGGAACTATTTTCTTTCTCCTAAACTACACTTGTATACAAGTAAGCACAAGTCCATGAGTATATTTATGCTGCCTTGTACACAATGATATGAGTTACTGCCGAGTCTGGGCAAAACATCATCCTTTTCAATTGATCCTATAAGACATTTGAGAGAAATTGGAATAAAAAACATATGAATTACTGAGTTATGGACAAAAATGTGTTTTGTGAGGTCACAGTGACCTTGACCTTTGAAAAACAAAGTCGTATCAGGTCATCCATCAGTTTAATTGTACGTTTGTGGCATGTTTGAAGACATTTTCTCAAGGCTTTCCTCAGATATTGAGTTGGTGGTGTGGATGCTAGAGGCATACAATAGTTCCTACATGAAACCGCTCACAAAATCTGTGGATTATGTGGAGCAACAAGGTCAGAATTTCTGGAAAAAGACAAAGCTGTTCTTGAAGTTATTTATTTGGCCCTTTTAATCTAGTTGCATTATATTTGAGGGAAGGCAGCCATCTCCAAGGCTGATATTGCCAACAGTTGGCAACTCACACTAAAGACATCTACATTGATAAATAGCTCTCCAGGCTATATATGTATTTTGGGTCAAATTGTCCCTTTAAGTGATGCCTGCACAAAACACTTTCATCTCAAATGTTCTCCTGCTCCCCCCATATTCACCTCCTTCGTTGTCTTTGTTGTCGGCGCAGGAGGTCTCCATGGCAACACTGCATCCTGGGCCCCTCCAGCCTGTCTGGCATTCACAGTGCCAACTCTGCTGTCCCATGGTGCACTGGCCGTTCCCGTTACACAAGTTAGGACAGCCGTCTGCGAGGAGAGGACAGGCGCATAGAGGGGGAGGGAGGTAAGAAGGGAGGAGAAGGGGGGAGGGAGGGAGGGGTGGTGGGTAAGAAGCAGGGTGATGCTTGTTTGTTTTATCACTGATGATGCACAGACGAGCACACATTCGTACAAACACACAGGCGCTCTCATGTGGTTATGATAGACCAATGAGTCTCACTCAATTCAATAAGCACGTGGTAGCATATTGTAAATATCGATTGTTCAAAAAGTCTATTCAATTCAGCACGTTCGATTTTCATCCACATCCCATCCGCATGTCTCTGCGCCCTTTGGGATGGCAGCTAATGTGTGTGTGTGTGTGGAAAGAACTCTTGATTCACTTACTGGATGGAGCCCCACACTATCGTCACACTCTCTCTCTTACTTATGATTCAGTGTAGGTAATGGGATTCTGATGGCCTGAGAGTAATGCTTTCTCATGAGAGAATGGGATTATGTTTGATAGTGTGTGTGTGTGCGTATGTGTGTGCGCCGTGGCAGTCTATGAACTAATAAACCTTCACATTAGATTATGCAAAAAGCTCTACCAGAATCTGAGGCCCTGGAGCCAAGAAAGTTCTGTAACTAGCATAGCAAGGCCACCCACAACTCCAGAGCGACTTTAAGGCGAGGAAAAGCAGACATTTTAAGGGCATCTGGATAGGGAAATTTGCAATTATAGAAGACAGTGCCATCTTGAGAAATTACTATCTGGTAGCTCCTGGTTGGTTGAAATGGTGATTTTTTCTTTTTCAAAGAATAGCTTGACATTTTGAGGAATATGCTAATTCGTTTTTGCAAAGTGTAACGTGAGTTTAGCTTAGAATAAAGGCTAGAAGCAGCTAGCTTTGCTCTGTCACAATTCACCTCACAGCACCAATGAAGTGTGTAGATCTTCTTTTGCTTAGCTGTCTAAAAAGGTGTTAAAAAACTTAAACTCTTTCTTCCGCCAACTTCTCATCAGTAAATGAGTCAGTTGCATATTACAACCAGTCCCTTAAGAGTCTCCTTGATCTGCACGCCCCCCTCAAAACCAGGATGGTCACCTTCTCGCGCTCAGCCCCTTGGTATACCGGCGAACTGCGGAGAATGAAGACAGCTGGGCGTGTCCTTGAGCGGCGGCTCAAGGCCTCAGGACTCACTGTTCACCCGGTTAGCCTATCGTGAACACCAGAAGGCCTACGCACAGTCCCTCAGAGATGCACGGTCCCAGTACTACTCCTCCCTCATCAACAACAGTACTGGAAACTCCAAGCAACTCTTCTCCACCATAAACCACCTCCTCAAACCCCAAAGTCCTCTACACTCCGACTCCACTGAGAAGCAGTGTAGCAACTTTGCCGCCTTCTTCACTAACAAAGTTGATAGTCTAGGGCTGTGCGATTATGGCAAAAATCATAATCACGATTATTTGGTCAATAATTGATATCACGATTATTTTGACGATTATTCATTGAACTTTAAAACAAATAATATTTTACCAATAAACAAGATCAATAAATGTGTTGGAGCGCACTTCCAAAACCATACTAAACATATATTAATATGATAAATAAAAATAAATTAGACCAAAATAAATGAAATCAAATATGTTGCAGTGCACTGTCAAAACCTACTGAACACTCCTTAACATATAGCCAACATTTTGGTAAAACATATTCAACATATTCCACTCAGTTAAACGTTGAAGGCTGGCCAACCGTCATGGTCCAGAAGTAACAGGAAATAAATGTTGAACTACAATTTAAGACCAAATAAAAATGTTTAGGCCACCATGGCAAATGCTGGTAGGGCTGCTCATGTCATCTCTTAAAGATTTTTTGCAAGAAATACCAGGCTGTTTACATGGTCTGGTTTCAGAGATGAGCACAGGCAGGTGACGATATTGCCACCTGTACTGAAGACCCTCTCTGAAGAGGAACTTGTGGCAGTGCTGCCACATATGACACAGGAAAAAAAGAAAAGACTCTGAAGAACCCTTTCTTTGCCATTATATCAAAATAGTGTTGCTACAAAAGTATAAATTAGGCTTACTAATAAGACAACTCAGATCTGAAGCTACACAGTAATCTGCTGCAGCAACAGTGCAATAAAAAAGACAACATTAATAGAATCAAACCCATTTTTTGTTGCATTTTATTAGAGTATAAAAAGAAATGCCTTTAAAATAGGATGCAAGCAACACTAGTTTCTGAACTGATAGACTATAATCAATTTAAACAGAACAGATCTTAATGTTTGCATTCTTATACCATTTTGTACAATAATTATCATGAATAAATTCAAACAAACTAAAACTTACAGCAGATTAATAACGGTATCTAAATTGAGTTTTTATTATATCAAAAACTTGTTGAAATGCTGCTGTTATTTTTACTGTCCCACAAAAGCGCGTCGCAGCCTCCAGGAAAGCTTCTTTCATAACTTCGCCGTCTTCGAAAGACTTCATGTGTTTCGCAAGAACGTGACTGACACGATAAGATGCTCTGGTAGCAGCCTTGCTCTTGTTGTTGGGCCGGGTGAAAATGGACTGCTGTGCATTTAGCTGTGCTCTCAGGCCCCTCCCCTTTTGGAGCGTAGGGCAGAATTAGGAGGGAATTCCGTCTCGTAGCGTTTGTGCACTGTTTTGAAATGCCGCTCCTAAATTACCCCTCTTCGATAAAGCCACGCTCGCATTGCAGATGAGACAGATGGACTTTGAATTGGAATAGATACAAAAATAATGATCCTCCCACTTGGAGTGAAAATTATATATTTTGGGCTTTTTTGCTTCTGCCATAATTGCGGTCTTGTGTGTGTGCGGACTGTCACTCCTGTTGACCATCCATGCTGTTGACACGGACAACGTCAGCGAACTAGTGCACTGCTCACCAGCCACGCCCGGACACATGGGGTGAGGCCGGCCAATCACAAAGCTTTGATGCGTTCAAGTGCATTATTCTGGCACGGGAACATTATGTTACAAGACATTAACGATACAACAGAATATTGTTGTTCTATTTTTAGACACATCTCGCGATCGACTGGGAATCTCCCCGCGACCCTTCTTTTTAACTAGTTGCTGCTCTTGTTCTGACATATTCGCTTGCGCTGAACACTCACAACACATGTCACTCCCACGTGGCCGAGTGGGCTTTTAGGGAGGGGCGAAAGAGCACCCAGCAAAATAATCGTATTTTGTCAATTATGCTGTTTTCCTAATCGTCGCAAGCCATAATCGTAATCGCGATTAAAATACGATTAATTGCACAGCCCTAGTTGATACTATCCGCTCCCTCCTCTCTAGCCCCTCTGCACCTCCAGTTACAACTGCTGACCCACAGCCTGGGACAACCCAGCCTCTTCGCTGTTTCACGGACATCTCTCAGCGAGAGGTTGAGGGCATCGTTAGGAGGATGAAGCCCTCCACCTGTGTCCTGGACCCCCTTCCGTCAGCTCTTGCATGAGCCCCATGATCACTAAGATCGTAAACCTCTCACTCCAGGCTGGCCATGTCCCCTCTGCCCTAAAAACCGCTGTCATCAAACCTCGTCTCAAAAAACCCTCCCTTGACCCGGGAGTCCTGGCCAACTACAGACCCATTTCCAACCTTCCTTTTCTATCAAAGGTGCTGGAAAAACTAGTTGCTGCTCAGCTCCAGGACCACCTAAACTCCAATAACCTATTTGAGAAGTTCCAGTCTGGTTTCTGCTCAGGCCACAGCACAGAAACTGCCCTGGTCAGGGTCACCAACGACCTGCTGATGACGGCTGATGCTGGCTCTCCCTCTCTCCTCATCCTCCTCGATCTCACTGCAGCTTTCGACACCGTCGATCACGGCATCCTCCTCCATCATCTGCACTCCACCATCGGACTCTCTGACTCTCCCCTTGACTGGTTCAGATCATACCTCACCGGGAGAACAGAGTACGTCTCCTTGGGCGAGGCAGAGTCGGTTACCCACAACGTCACCTGTGGTGTCCCTCAAGGATCAGTTCTCGGCCCCACCCTCTTCACACTCTACATGCTCCCCCTTGGCTCTATCATCAGCCGACATGGAGTATCATTCCATTGCTACGCTGATGACACCCAACTGTACCTCAGGATCAACCCTACCTCCTCTGCAGCCCTGCCTTCACCCACACTCACTGCCTGCCTGGAGGAGATACAGGCGTGGATGAAGCAAAACTTCCTGAAACTCAACAGCTCCAAGACCGAAGCCATTATAGTTGGCACCCCACACCAGGTTCGGTCATCCACCATCACCACCATCACCTTCTCCGGCCAGGACATTACCCTCTCCTCAATAGTCACCAACCTGAGTGTTAAAATGGACGCCCATCTGACCTTTGAGGCCCACATTAAACAGCTGTGCAAGAACTCCTTTTATCACCTCAGGAACATCGCCAAACTCCGCCCCACACTCACTCTGTCTGACGCTGAAAAGCTGGTCCATGCCTTTGTCTCCTCCAGGCTGGACTACTGCAATGCACTCCTCATCGGGATCCCTAACAAAAGCATCCAGAAGCTCCAATACATTCAGAACAGCGCTGCTAGGATCCTGATGAGGGTGCGCAAATATGATCACATCACCCCCATCCTTAAAGCACTACACTGGCTACCCGTGGAACTGAGGATCGAATTCAAGGTCTCCGTCCTCACCCACCAGTGTGTCCATGGAACTGCCCCTCCCTACCTCAAGGAACTCCTCACCCCCCATACCTCCTTGCGGACCACCCGCTCCAGCAACTCCAACTTCCTCAAACCCCCCAGGACTAAGCTTCGTACTTCTGCTCGGCTGCTCCCAGTCTGTGGAATGCTCTCCCCGACCAAATGAGAGCACCACAGACCGTGGAGGCTTTTAAAAAAGGCCTCAAAACCCATCTCTTCAAAAGAGCCTTTGCCTAGTCCTTTTTATCACCCTTTTATTTATTTATTTTTCTATTGCTTTTTATTAATTCTACCGTGTTGTGTAATGTTTATTTATACTGTTCATGCTCACCACTTGTAGCACTTCGGGATTTGGAGTCAAATATGAGGTGCTTTATAAATGGAACCCATTATTATTATTATTATTATTATTATTAAATGTTATGGTTTTACTGGGAGTAAGAATGTGAGGGACTACATCCTAGCTAGGAGCAGTGACCTTGTTATATTTGTCAAATGCAACCAGCAGAGATTTTAAGAGGTTTTTGTGCCCGGTCAAGACTATGTCCCAAACACTAACTTACTGTTCACATTTTCTCCTTTTTACAGTTAAGACAGGGCCATGCTAGCTGTTTACACTTGTTTCCAGTCTTTAAGCTAAGCTAACTGGCTACTGGATCCAGCTAAATACTGAATTTACAGATATGGCAGTAGTATTAACCTTCTGAGGTAACTCTATGTAGGGAGTGTATATTTCTTCAAGACAACTCCTATATCTAATCTTGATCTAAATAAGGTGTTTTTAGATTTTCACGGTGTTCATCACAATTGGCGGGTGTTTTGTTTACATCTCGCACTTCGTTTACGAAGTGTAGTGCGAGCTCATTTATTAGTAGTCACTGTGTAGCGTATAGAGAAGGACATCATATACCGTTAAACCGTTAAACCGCTGAAAGGCATGCTGGGTACAGACTTCTGTAGCTCTCTGTAGCTTATTAGAGTTAATTCAGACATGTAAAGACAGAGAGACATGCACTTTTCTGAAGGACCATCATTCTACGAAATTGGGTCCTTTTATCCTCTAAATACCAAGAGATAAGAACTTTTGTTTATAAAAGCTCACTGACATTTTTATTTTTTATAATTTGCATTCACACTGAGGCACTGTTGCACATCGATGTCTTTTAAAAAAAAAACTTTAACCCTGGCCATACAATTTTCCCATTTTGCTTTAAATTCAAAACTTTTAGCATTCACCAAGTCTGTGTGTTTGCCACATTATAATCAGGGAGAGTCGGGGGGAAAAAGGCAAAATGACAATGTTTTCTCCAGCAGCACAAAGAGCCTCTAACAAACTTGTCACAGTGATTTCCTCCTCAATAAATGAAGGAGCAGGATGCGACACTCTTAAGTCTACCCACGGGATATGGAGGCAAAGGCAGGGTTGACTGATAAAACAATACGTGCATGTACGCAAAGGCACTTACTAAAAAACACAAACACACACACTCACAGACACACACACACCCAGCACGACGCACCCTAGAGATATTACCTGACATTTCCCACTCAGTAGTAGTGTGCTGACACAGAGTGAGGAAGGACAAAATAACCCAGCGAGATTATGAATATGAAATGCTTTTCATTGAGTCCCGCTCAATAGATTAATGAACATATTTTCACTCAAGTTGCTCTGTAGGATTTTGCCCTCTAACAAATCGCTGCATCAATAAAGCCATGCATTATGAATACAAATAGTGCAATCTAAACCGTGGCAGCGGCTAAATTAACAGGCATTTCACCCCGATTGGCATTTTATCATACGTCTCAAGCACCAGGCGATGAGGGAAAGTCAACAGAGGACTTTGAGAAAGACGCCATCTTGTTTGAACTCCTAAGAAAAAGGGAGGAGGAGGGGGGGGGCAGAGAAGCTTAACCACGTTTTTCAGCTCAACAAGACGAATCAAATCAAAGGTTTTTATCTTTAATTATGACCCTTTTCTGCATCAGGGGACTGCTCACAACGCTGTATTAACAGTCAGGCTGGAATAGATTGTCCCCAAGTATTGAGCTCGGGGAACAAAGGCAGTTAGCAGTGATTGCCTGTTAAATGGGGTTGCCATTTAAAGCAACCAAATACTTATGAAGCACCCGGACAGGACAATCTATAGCGGGCATTGATCGGCTTGCCTGGGCAGGCCTGACACAAGACTCCTCTCTCTTTAATGCCAGGGCCCAGTCGATACCCGCTCATGCTAACTAGAATAAAGTGGGATTTCAGAAACTATTAACTCCACCCTCCTCACTAATGTAGTTGGACTGATAAAATCCCCTTAAATAGGAGAAGAAATTGCCTTGGGTTATGGGTCAGCACACACACACTCTGTGTCGGGGTGTATGACTGGATAAAGAAAGATACCGCTGCAACGCTGCGAGGGAGGAGTGAGATAGAATGAGAACTTATAGCATGAAAGAAGACTTTGAGGTAAAAGTTCCAACATGTTTTCCAATTCCCTGTGTTTCCAGCTCTGTCTCCTCTAAAGGTCATAAAGTAAAGGTCACTGCCATAAATCCAGCTGCCTAAAGATGGACCAGATAACGCCGCACTTCCTCGGATAAACCTCCACTCATCCACTCCTCCGGTTCCTAATGAGCTACCTTGGAAATTATATTGATTACTTTACCCCTCTGCTTCCCTTTGGCTCCATGCGTTCTTCTTTACTCTCCCTCCCTCTTTAACCCTGCGATTTACCTTTTCTCTGGGCTGGCTCTTCATAAAACAATGAAAGCTATTCCATTAAGTGTAGAGGGTGAGAGGACACTCTCAACGGTGCTCGGGGGACCTGTACTGTCAGGCAATCTGTGCCGCTCTGTGTAACCCGACAGAAGTTCACCTGTGAGGCTATCTATTAAGCATTCCTGCCGTGCATTTGGGACAACTTACCCTAGACATGCACCTTTCTCTGTTTGGGTTCATGTTTAACCTTACCCATGATTCTGTGTATCTTTATGCGATCTTACTTAACTGTTTTCTTTATCTGGCCTTACATTGGAGGGTATGAGTTTAATGAAAAGATAGAGAATCTAGAATAGCGCGCTGAGTCACACTCACACAATCAAACACATACATACTCACCGAAAATAAATGTATAAGCCGCTCCACCATTGCTGGGAATGTTGCCACAGATACCCAGATGTAAACACAACCTTTTTGACACCATATTAAGGCCTTGCATCAGTGGCCTATGAAATGTAATTGCCAATTACCTCAAAAGTTCTTTACGGCTTTTACCGTTTTCCCCTCATGTGAAGCAGCTGTCTTTACGCGAAACGTGACTAGAATACCTGAGCAGAGTTATGTGTTTGTGTTTCAACATTGGACAATCTAGAGCTCACACACACACACACACACACACACACACACACACACACACACACACCACACACACACACACACACACCACACACACACACACACACACACACACACACACACACACACACACACACACACACACACACACACACACACACACACACACACACACACACACACACACACACACACACACACACACACACACACACACACACACACACACACACACACACACACACACACACACACACACACACACACACACACACACACACACCACACACACACACACACACACACACACACACACACACACACACACACACACACACACAGCACAGCCCCTCAATATTGCTGATACCACACTAGGCTCTACGGTACCCCACAACACATCTAGGCTCAATGACAGCTGGCTCCCGCTGCAGCGCACTGCTGTAAGGGGGGGTGCGCTGCAGCGGGGAGTCGTCATTGAGGCTGGCACCCTCATCTACAGACAGTTATCACCACAGAGTCTACAGAGCCAAGCCAGGCCGAAACCCACAAATGCAGCAGCTAGCTTCTACCACCACAGGCTAAGAAACAAAACACCAGAGTCAGATACGGTACCTGCTTTGTCTACCATGCTCCCATGGTCTGCAGTGGGAGAAAACATGCAAAAGGTAAGAGATGGGGAGAGTATTTCTTTTTCAATAAATGCAAGCAACATCATGCAGAGCTGAAATGAACAACAGGCAAGCTGAGATAAGCTAACACCGACAGTGCCTGGTGCTAGTGAAGTGTACTTTGCGCCAAGCTGGAGCCTGACAACTCTTTCATCTTGGGCTGATGCTGCAGTCAAAGCTGCCCTACTTTCTGATGGGGGAACGGGGAGATCATAAGCTGCTATTCCCCTGTGCGTATATATGTGTTGGCGTGCGTGCACGTTTACATGTGCTGCAGTGCGGTGTTTGTTTGTGTGTGTATCACATTGCACTCAGTGTTTGTGGTGACAGGGAGACTTTGTCTCTCAAAGCAATGTGGGTGAATTAAAGGAATCTGGCACTCATCCATCCGAAGTGACAGTGATGTCAGAATGAGACGAGGTGATTGACTGACATTAAAGACACCCGCACATACTGGCACCACTGTGCACTTGCACACACGCACACACAAAATGCATTGGAGATATTTTTGGATCACAGTGAGGTGAAGAGTTTTATCTTTCATCCAAGTTACTTTGGTGTTACAAATGCCAAATAAACTGACATTCCTGGGTTGTGCAGTTGAGAGGCAACCCATAAGCGCCTACATCTTGCTATATTGTAAACCTACCACCCCCACTTTTATGGTGTTTGCGCCTCTCCTCTCTGTTCGCCCACCTCCTATGTCACTCATTTTCTTAAAATGTCCCCTTTTGCCTGTACTTTTCCAGATTTCTTTTAACAAAGTGTAAAGGAGCTGCCAGTTTGTTCTGACTGGGTTTTCTGTGCCCACACACACACCTCCAGTTGACACACAAATGTGGACGCTTACCGATGGTGCAGTGCTCTCCGTTCCAGCCCTGGTGACACTGGCACTTGCCGTCCTTGCAGGTTCCGTGTTTGATGCAGACCGGGTTGCACACACGCTGGTCGCAGCTCGCGCCCGTCCAGCCCTCCTCACAGCGACAAGCTCCGCCCATACACACTCCGTGAGTGCCACAGTCCACTGAGCACACCTCTGAAGGAAGAGAGGAAGATCTGGGTCACAAACATTGTTCCGGGAGTCTAAATATTAGGAGATTGGGGAAGAGGAGCCGAGTTCATGTAAATGAATACATAAATACTTTTCGTGTTAGCTTATTTCGCACTGCAGTAACACCATGCATTGAAACCTTTCTGCATTTTGTTATTGTATGTTGAAATGTATAGATTACTCTATGATTATATATATATATAGCTAATTGTTGGTAATATATGTGCATAAAAGTGCCCAAAGCAGCAAAAAAAGCCACAACAATCAAACCTACGTACACTCCACAAAAATACAATGCTAGACCTTCAATTTAAATCAGTGATAATATTTTTGTGAACACCGCATTTATTTAGTTTCTTTCCATTACAGTCACAGTTTGGGGGATGTAGATGTTGCAGGGAGCGACGGTGCATGTTTATAGATGTGAGACAACCCCGCCCATGTGCTCAGGACCCCCGATGTGCGGGGAAATGTAGTACGTACAGATGTTTTGATGCACACTTGCTGAGAGATCCTGCAGCGAGGAACAATGTTGTCTTTATTAAAGCTAAGCATTTATTTATCTCGGAAAAAAATACTCCATCTGTGTTTGTGATCCTGACAAAGAGAAGCAAGACATGCTGGGGGATGCTGTCTGTCTTACAGCAGCTCAACAGCATTACGAAAAATAATCGTAAAAGTTGAACATTTCATTATAAAATGCATTTTATAAGCAATGTCTTTTTAGTTTTTCTAGGGAATTATGAGTCTCATGCACAGGAAGTGACTGCAGATGAGCTCCATTTTCCTCTTGTCCCCGACACAGACTTTATTAACTCAATTTATATATAAAAAGAAAATATGGAACTGTTTGTATACTCGATGAAGGTCGAAGAGCGATTGCAATCAAACAAATAGTTTAGCAGGAAGCAAGACAGTGTGCTGGAGTTCTTCTCATTGTCACAGTCAGGTGTGCAGAGATTTTTTCAAATGACCTCCATTAGTCTAACATCACTTCATTTGCTCCCAGGGCAATTCAAAGTCAATGTCAAAGTTATAATAAAAAATAATAATCTATAAAGCTCATAATAGTTTGGCTCCATAGAGCATATTTTACTACAGTCCAATCAGACCTCCAGCTAATGTATAGCCTGATGACCTGCTGTGTTGTTTAAAGTACAATTACAATTGTGGATTTGTATTAGCTGCTCTGTGAGTGTGTGTGTGTGTGTGTGTGTGTGTGTGTGTGTGTGTGTGTGTGTGTGTGTGTGTGGGGGGGGGGTTTGGTGCGGGGGTGTGTTACATGTTCGCTGGTGTTGTATGTGGGTGCATGGTTATTCTTTCGTTTTTTTCCCCCTTTGTTGTAGCTTTTTTTTCTTGTACTCACATTCTTTTATACAATGTTGTGACTTTCATGTGACGCCCATTGCAATGGAATGTGCTTTATGTAGCTTGAATTGCCCATCATGCATTCTGAATGCTACCCTGATAATCATAAAAAGCTGTCATAACCATACTGGCCCCGACGATGATGATTGTACTTAGCATTGACACTAAAGTCCCACTAGTCACATTTTGTTCCTGTTAGCAATTTGGCTAAGATAATGCAACAGTTGCTCCAACCCATTTCAGAGCAACTTGTATTGTTTGTGGTTTTGTACATTTCATCCAGACAAAACCATATCAGCCTCGAGTAAAAAGCTAAACTAATTAGCCATGTATCCTAGGGGACCAACTTGTTGGCAAAATGGGAAGTCAGAATCCGTTTTCGCTTAACTGTGACGCCCAGACTCTTCTTTTTTTACTCTGCTCTACTGCAGTCCTACTTACCCATAGAGCAGTCGGGTCCCATCCAGTTAGGGTCACAGCTGCAGAGCCCGGTGTCCGGTATGAAGGCCCCGTGTCCGTGGCACTGGTCTGGGCATTGGGCCCTGGGCAGCTCGCAGTGAAGCCCCCCCCAGCCCGGCTTACAGTGGCATTCCCCATTCACACAGATGCCATTGTTGGAACATGTCGGATCCAGGCAATCCACTGCATCACGCCACACATACACCCATGTGAAAAAACAAACAGGGGAAAACAAAATAAACAAAAAGCAACGCAGTCTAGATAAGTCACATCAGAGACATACATTTAATATGTTTTAACTTTTGACAAAGGACATACTTTCAGTCTTTGTGTACACAAAATGATAGTAAAACAAAAGAGAACGCTATCAGACATATTGCTAAGCCAATTAAAGTGACCAATAATGAATAGCTGAGGCTATAATTGGGGCATGTCAGCAAATGTGTTCCACTCTGAAAGTGCAGCGAGGCTCGCCGACACATTATTCGGTGTGAGCGCTCGCATGCATGCATGAGCGTGCGTGTGCATTAGTGTGTATGCGTGAATGCGCTAATACATAGGGGAGAATCTGACACTGTCAGTCTGCCAGGTTGACAGGCAGCTCTGAGTCCGAGCAGTGAGTGAAAACCAATTTGACAAATTACCTCCTCCCGGCAAAGAGCCCACCCTTCCCTCTCCGTCCCGGTCGCTCCCACTTTTCTCTCCCTCTTTCTCTCTCCCCATCCTCTTTGTCTGACACCTCTCTCACCCCTCCTCCTCCTCAGGCATGATTAACCCCTATGCACACACACGCATAAAATCACGCGCTCGCACATAACCTCGGCCCTCCGTTTCTGTTTGCCTGGCAGAAACGGCAGATCACAGTTATCGATTTTCATGTCGCTGGCACTCCAGGTAAATTGTTTGAGGGACTCAGCTGTGATGAATATCAGATTTGAGACAAGAGGAGAACAATTTGATGGGAGGGAGAGGGAAAAAATAAACGCAGGAGAAAATGCTGACCTTGTTCTCCGGCCCCTGCGTCTCGACTTTTTTCTATTCGTCACTTTCTTCCCTTTGTCTTTTATTTCCCTCTCCTCGGGCCTCATTTATAAAGGTATATACGCTCAAAAAATGGCGTACGCCAGTTTCTACGCAATGTTTGCGATTTATAAAATACTAACTTCACGGGAAAACATGCGGTCCTCCACCATCCATCCATCCATCTTCTCCCGCTTATCCGTGGTCGGGTCGCGGGGGGGTAGCAGTTTCCAGCAGAGAGCCCCAAACTTTCTTTTCCCTGGCCACATCAACCAGCTCTGACTGGGGGATCCCAAGGCGCTCCCAGGCCAGCGAAGAGATATAATCCCTCCACCTGGTCCTAGGTCTACCCCTTGGTCTCTTCCCAGCTGGACGTGCCTGGAACACCTCCCTAGGGAGGCGCCCAGGTGGCATCCTAACTAGGTGCCCGAACCACCTCAACTGGCTCCTTTCGACGCGAAGGAGGAGCGGCTCAACTCCGAGTCCCTCCCTGATGACCGGACTTCTCACCTTATCCCTAAGGGAGACACCAGCCACCCTGCGGAGAAAACCCATCTCGGCCGCTTGTATCCGCGATCTCGTTCTTTCGGTCATGACCCATCCTTCATGACCATAGGTGAGGGTAGGAACGAAAATGGCCCGGTAGACAGAGAGCTTTGCCTTCTGGCTCAGCTCTCTTTTCGTCACAACAGTGCGGTAAAGCGACTGCAGTACCGCTCCCGCTGCTCCGATTCTCCGGCCCATCTCACGCTCCATTGTTCCCTCACTCGAGAACAAGACCCCGAGATACTTGAACTCCTTCACTTGGGGTAAGGACTCATTCCCTACTTGGAGTGGACAGTCCATCGGTTTCCTGCTGAGAACCATGGCCTCAGATTTGGAGGTGCTGATCCTCATCCCAGCTGCTTCACACTCGGTTGCGAACCGATCCAGTGAGTGCTGAAGGTCGCAGACCGATGAAGCCATTAGAACCACATCATCTGCAAAAAGCAGTGGTGCAATCCTTAGTCCACCGAACTGCAGACCCCCTCCCCCATGACTACGCCTCGAAATCCGATCCATGTATATTACAAACAGGATTGGTGACAAAGCGCAGCCCTGGCGGAGGCCAACCCTCACCGGAAATGGGTCCGACTTACTGCCGAGGACCCGGACACAGCTCTCGCTTTGGGAGTACAGAGATTGGATGGCCCTGAGTAGAGACCCCCTCACCCCATACTCCCGCAGCACCTCCCACAGTAACTCCCTGGGAACTCGATAATACGCCTTCTCCAAGTCTACAAAACACATGTAGACCGGATAAGCGTACTCCCAGGCCCCCTCCAGGATCCTTGCGAGAGTAAAAAGCTGATCCGTTGTTCCACGACCAGGACGGAATTCGCATTGTTCCTCCTCAATCTGAGGTTCGACAATCGGCCTGACCCTCCTTTCGAGTACCTTAGAGTAAACTTTCCCGGGGAGGCTGAGTAGTCTGATGCCTCTGTAATTGGCACACACCCTCTGATCCCCCTTTTTAAAAAGGGGAACCACCACCCCGGTCTGCCACTCCTTCGGTACTGTTTCCGACTTCCACGCAACGTTGATGAGACGTGTCAACCATAACAGTCCCTCAACACCCAGAGCCTTCAGAATTTCCGGGCGGATCTCATCCACCCCCGGGGCTTTGCCACTGTGGAGTTGTTTGACGACCTCAGTGACCTCCCCCCGGGAGATTGGTGTTGATCCCCCGTGATACTCCAGCTCTGCCTCTAACATAGAGGGCGGAGTTGTCGGGTTCAGGAGTTCCTCAAAGTGTTCCTTCCAACGCCCTAACACTCCATCAGTTGAGGTCAACAACGTCCCATCCTTACTGTACACAGCTTGGATGGTTCCTTGCTTCCCCCTCCTGAGGTGTCGGACAGTTTTCCAGAACAACTTTGGTGCCGCCCGAAAGTCCTTCTCCATGTCTTCTCCGAACTTCTCCCACACCCGCTGCTTTGCCTCGGCCACGGATGAGGCTGCTGCCCTTCGGGCCTGTCGGTACCTTGCAACTGCCTCGGGAGTCCCCCGGGATAACAAATCCCTGAAGGCCTCCTTCTTCAGTCGGACGGCTTCCCTGACCACCGGTGTCCACCAGGAGGTTCGAGGGTTACCGCCCCTTGAGGCACCTAGGACCTTGAGACCACAGCTCCCCGCCGCGGCTTCGGCAATAGAGGCTTTGAACACCGACCACTCTGGTTCAATGTCCCCAACCTCCACAGGAATGCCCGAAAAGCTCCGCCGGAGGTGTGAGTTGAAGGCCTCCTGAACTTGGGCCTCCTCCAGACGTTCCTAGTTCACCCGAACTACACGTTTGGGCTTACCAGGTCTATCCAGAGGCTTCCCCCGCCACAACTCACCACCAGATGGTGATCAGTTGACAACTCCGCCCCTCTCTTTACCCGAGTGTCCAAAACATACGGCCTCAGGTCCGATGATACGATAACGAAATCGATCATGGACCTTCTGCCTAGGGTGCTCTGGTACCACGTACACTTATGAGCATCCTTATGTTCGAACATGGTGTTTGTTATGGCCAATCCATGACTAGCACAGAAGTCCAGTAACAAACCACCACTCCGGTTCAGATCAGGGGGGCCGTTCCTCCCAATCACGACCCTCCAAGTGTCTCCATCATTGCCCACATGTGCGTTGAAGTCTCCCAGCAAGATTAAAGAGTCCCCTTCAGGAGCCCCATACAGGACTCTTTCCAGGGTCTCCAAGAAGGCCGTATACTCTGAACTGCTGTTGGGTGCATAAGCACACACAACAGTCAGAGTTTTCCCCCCCATAACCCGCAGGCGTAGGGAGGCGACCCTCTCGTCCACTGGGGTAAACTCCAACAACGAAGCACCGAACCGGGGACTTGTGAGTATCCCCACACCCGCCCGGCGCCTCACACCTTGAGCAACTCCGGAGAAGAATAGAGTCCAACCCCTATCCAGAAGTAAGGTTCCAGAGCCGACGCTGTGCGTAGAGGTGAGCCCAACCAGATCCAACTGGTAACGCTCCACCTCCCGCACAAGCTCCGGCTCCTTCCCCCCCAGAGAGGTGACGTTCCACGTCCCCAAAGCCAGCTTCTGTCGCCCGGGTCTGATCCGTCGAGACCCTCCGCTTTCACTGCCACCCTTCTGGCAGCGCACCCGACCCCATCGCTGTTTCCCGTAGGTGGTGGGCCCGCGGGACGGAGAAGCGGAGGTGTTGCCCACGTTGCCTTTTCGGGCTGGGCCCGGCCGGGCTCCGTGGCAAGCCCGGCTACCAGACGCTCGCCGACGAGTCCTCCTTCTGGGCCTGGCTCCAGAAGGGGACCCCGGGCTTCCTCCGGGCCGGGTATCCTCACTTCTTGTGTCGTCTTTTATGAGGTATTTTGAACCAATCTTAGTCTGGCCCCTTGCCTAATACCAATTTGCCATGGGAGACCCTACCAGGAACACAAGGTTCCAGACAACACAGCCCCCAGGTTCATCAGGGCACACAAACCTCTCTACCACGGTAAGGTGCTGGTTCTTCAGAGAGGTCCTCCACGCAAACTCTAACCCATGCGTTAAGCTAAGCACAAAAACGGGAGAGACGAGAAACTGCGACACCGTTGGCAGAAGGAAGAATGGAGAGAAATATGTGGAAATAATACCATAAATAAAATGTTACCTCTCATTTATCATATGAAGAATTCATTTTCAAACATTGATTAAAGCCAATCTTAAAATAATTAAACAAACGCCTGTTTGCGACTCCTCAGTGCACACAAACACATAACTTGGAGAAATAAATAAATACGGATATGTTATTTAAAACCACCTCGAATATGTTGTGTTAATGTTATGAAATGTTTTCTCATAAATGATGCGGTTTTGCATTTCTATAGGTTGTACGAGCATGGTTTTATATACTACCATGTTTAATCATGTTTTATGCCATTTGCTAAGACTTGATAAGTCGCTCGTAAAACACAGGAGGTATGGAAACTAAGAACACCATATGTGGTAAATTGTACAGCTAATATAACACAACACATTAGTTGTATTTCCTTTAACTGGTGGATATAGAGTTGCTGCAGTGGAGATGCTGCGCACAGCTGATCAACAGCTGGGACACAAACCACCAAATACGAAAACATAATTCAGATCCAGTCATCATGACTCCACTCCGGAGGGATTCCCCGATCATTTCTTACAGTTTCTCATCAAGGGGGTGTCTCCTGTCCCCGGTACAAACACACTGCCTGAGGAAGGCTATGTGTATTTTTTTTGTCATTAACCTTTTTCGGACCACTTATTTATTTATTTTGGTGACGATCCGACCTCCATGCTGCTACTCTGGTTCAAACGGCATCCACCAAACAATATGATTTATCTCGACCTCCCCAAAATAACCAAAATCTGACACGGTGTGAGATGTCTTTTTTAGCTGTTCTGTCGTCATTTCCTGCGATCTTCTTCAAAAAGTCAGTCAGAATGAATGGGCGTTTCTTTGACTATTTATAGGCAAATATGGGCGTTACGTGAAGCCCGCAAAAGCTGCACCGCATTTCGAGTCGATTGTGATTTATAAAGGGAAACCGGCGTAGGAAGTGCTGTACACACTTTCCTCGCCGGTACGCAATGTTTGGTGAATTGGAAAATGTCGGAACATTTCTGTACCTATTTTTTGGATTTCTACTACGTAAGCAACCTTCCCACGTGAATCCTACGCACAGCGTTATAAATGAGGCCCCAGATCCTCACCCTCGGCACACTGCGCTCTATATTCTCCCTCCTTTCCAATTCTCTTCTATCTTTCTTACGACCCAGAATGTGGCGGCCTGATCCTTCTTAACTAGGATCAATAGAAGCAATTTCATCCCTAAATAATATCTCTGATGTGTTTGGCTGTGGTATCATACTTCATCTCTATACTGTATATGGAGAGAAAGCACACTCAGTCAGATTAGAGATTATGCTATGATGAGCTGTCTAACTGGAGTAAGAAGGATGTGTGAAGTGTGTTTGTTGTGATGCTCTCAACATCCATGTTTCATGAAAAAACTGAGGTACAATCATACATCCCTGAGGAACACCAAATCTATTAACTCTCACCCTGGGAACAGCTCTGTCCTTTGTAGCCGATGGAACACACACAGTTGCCGTCGGTGCAGGAGCCGTGGCTGCTGCAGAGGGGATCAATGCACTGCGTGAAGGGGACGTCACACTCGGGGCCCTTCCAGCCGCTGTAACACACACAGGAGCCCTTGTCGTATTGACCGTTGCCGCTGCATAGCACCGGGCACGCCGCTGGAGAAATGGAGAATGTGGAGGTGGGAGAGACAGAAAAATAAAAAATGTGAAGACTTTTAAGAGAATGTCTTACACACACCCATCCCCGTATAACCCCACCAATATTTCCCAGTGCAGGAGGGTGAATAGAGTGGTTAAAGGGCCTCACAGTGGCGATGACATGAAGAGTAATTACAGGCAGAGGTAACTAAACTATTCATCAAAGCTGTCTATCCCAGGTGAGCGCCGAGCCAGTGAGACGTTAGCTAAGGGGGGGAGCTGCCATTCATCATCAGTCATCTTGTCTGGGCTCCACCAAAGGCCATGCGCAATCTTACCGCTCCTAATCCTCTCTGCTGGCTGCGTAGAGCCTAAATGTGCCTGTTTGTCTAATTAGACGGTGGGGAAAACAGCATATATCCTTTTTTTACGACGGAAGAAAGACATTTGCGAGAAGCTAATACCTTTGGAGCAGTCCATCCCGTGGAATCCTGGGAAGCAGTGGCACACGCCAGAATTACACTCTCCGTTACCATGGCAATTGCGCGGGCACTCTTGCACTGAATCTGTGAAGGAGACAAAATGAGATGGAGAGGGAAAAGAGGGAAAGGGTAAGAGAGGAGTCTGATGGCAAGTATCAAAGCATTTGATTTGATCATTGGCACCATTCATTCTTTAAGACACTGCAAATGGAGTCACACAGATTCCTTGCATTCCTTTTTCACTGAATCTTTCATAGTGTGAGGAGTATGCATTTTGAATCAGACACGTCATTACCCATCCATTATTTCTCTCCATGCTGAATCAGAAAATACACAGACTCTTCTTCACCCCTGCCACTTTTTGTTTGTTTACTCTCCGGACCCACCAAGGTCATTAATACTTTATCCAGATGTGGTTGTTCGGCAGATTTTAGTGTGTTTCTGGCTCTGTGCATACATGACTTCAGTGCTCTTTCTACCTTTTAGTGCCTCCCAACTCACTTCCCAGAAGAGAGCAGTTTGGAAGGGAGAAACAGGGTCGATGCTAATGATAAGGAGGCATTTTGGACTTTCATCCCTTCCTCCTTCGCTCTAGTTCCGCTCCTCTTACACAAAGCATGACTCAGCCTATCCACACTGCCTTCCTCTCCAACACTTCCGCCTTCTTTCTCTGTACTCAGCCTTTCCCCCCCTCCCCCAAAAAGCCCCACGTCTCCCTCTTACCCTAATGCCACCCTCTCTCTCACTCTCCTCTTCAGCTCCTCCTTCACTCCACTCCACTCCTATCTGGTTTTGCCCCCACCATTATGTCTCTCCTCCAGCTCCCCCCTCTCCCTACTCACTCTAATTCTGCCCTTGCCGCCTCTCCCTGTCTCCTCTTCCGCTGAAAGCACTACCGCCAGATATTGACAGTGAAGGATTCTTTCACTCGAGCTTGACTCTTCCTATCCACCCCCCCCCCCCTCGGTATCACACTCATGCCTCCAGCACAATTGAAATTATTTGGGGCGCTGTTTCAACATCCCATTTACAGGTTTATTTGGATACATCCTTATCCGTTTCACACAAGCACAACACCACAACACATTCTACACTCTCTGCTATATTAGCTTTTGTTTTTCAATGCATACCGTCAATTTGTGCTATTACATTTTGGCAAAAACAAATCTTTAGACTCACTAAGTGGTCCTGCCTGCTTTACAATGTTGCTATAGTTGTGTTGCTAGTGGCAACACTGTGCACATGCTGTTGTGAGTGTTTTTGCCCCCTGTGAAGGTGCAAAGTCCATATCCCTGTTAAAGGGGAACCATTGTTCCAGATCAAATGTAGGTTGATTTGGTTTTGAGGGTGGTTTTCTCAATTTGAGTATTTTAAGGGTCATGTTAAGATGGTTACCCTCAATTTGTGTTATGCAAGATTGTTATAGTTACAAATTGAAAGGTATGGATTAGTATTGGTTGTTGGTTTTCACAAAGTTATACAAATTGCGAACACAACCCTCCAGAAAGTTTCTCATTTAAAAAAAATTCTTGCTAACCTAAATATCCGGTCATTTATCAAGTACACAACATCTACATACTTTGTTGTTGAAACGCATTGGATACTCAATTTGACATTTTACCTACTATGAATATAATGTTATTATTATTATATATAGCCTATATGATCAAACTAGCAGCAGTTGAGTTCAATTGTGGGTACTGTAGCAACTATGTTTTGATGACAAAAATGTGTGGAATAAAACAAACACAACACCAACACATACTGCAGCAGGTTTCTCTTAAAAAGATATGGTGCATTGTGAGTCCAACAAATGTAACTGCAGGAGTGCAATGCTAAACTGCTGGAGTGCTCTTAAATCAGTGTCACTGTAACAAATAGCTTCATCTCTCTCTACGCTTTCCATCTCCCAAATGCTGCTGCTTAATCTAATTTCAGCTCCCAACCTGCCTCACCCTCCTTCCCCACTTATTCTCCCTCCGCCCACAACTTCAAACTCACCCATGATGTTTGTGCTGAAGGAAACCGTCTCTCTCTCCCGGCCGTCGTTGTAGAAGGCCAGGTGCCAGGCGCCGGTGTCCAGGTACTGGACAAACACCGCCTCGTTGAGGACCACCGTCTGGATGCTCCTCCTCTCACGCGGAGACTCCACCACGCTCCACTTCTCCTTCCCGTCCAGGCGCTCCATATAGTCATACTGCAGCAGAGAGAAAGACAGAGAACGTGAGGAGGTGAGAATACCATTGTGAACCCTGTGATTCAACTATGAAGTGCTGCCGTGGCACTTTTCAGACTTTGAAAAATGGCCAATTGTTATATGTGCAGGGAGATTAAAAGATGGGGGCAGTAAATGTGGTTGGAAATGTCCCGAGGACGCATGAAGAAGGCCACAGAGAGACTGTCTTTCTCACTGAAAGTTTTTTTTTTTAAACTGCTGCCGCAACTTCACGGCCTTCACCAGTTTAAGTCAGGTCAGACAGTGAAACGCTTATTCAGACGCAATTATCCCAAGCTACAAATCAAATCTAGTGTTAATTGAGTAGTCTCTAATTAATACGAGGCAGTAAAAGTTACATTACTGCAAAATCTAATTAAGTGTAAATCTTAAACTAAATGAGTTCTTTCAAATGACTATTATAATGAATCACAAATTAATTTAACATGTCCCATGACACAGGCAAGTTTTTTTTTCTAATGCATTCTCCGTTTTGGGTGATCAATACGAAGATAATGTGCTCCCTAATGAGTAGAATTATAATTCTTTGATTGCTTTAGATAACCCTGAAGGTGTAGAAGCTTTGGTGGACGTTTTTTTACCTGTGCGTGTGAGGGAGGCAGGCCCTTGCGGATGTACACTCCGAAGAGGGCATCCTTTCCGAGGGAGATGTTGAACTTGAGGAATTGGGGTTGGCTGAGGTGGAGCAGAGACCTCCAAAACACGCCCGGTGGGACTTCCTGGGTCACTCGCCTCCCGACCTCGATGGTGCCCGTGTCTATACTGCTGTTCCGGCCTGCCCACGAACCTGGAGCGAGGGGAAAAGAAACTGCATAATCTGTGATTATAGGCATCGATTGACAGAGTCAATAGTTAATCATCACATTTAACTGAAAATGAGCTGCTATAAAAATTCATGGCCATCGAATGGTAGAAGACGAGCCCCATTAGCTTTTGCAAACTGTGTGCCCAAAGTTTATGTAAACTGAGCGTTGTGATGTGTGGCGGCGCGGATGAAAAATGCTGCCTTTGTGTCAAACGTTGTAAGATCGTAGAGTTGGTTTTTCTGAGCTAAAATGAGAGCGGGCCGATAGAACTGCAGGGCAGAGCTTTCCAAGCATCCGCGGAGAGAAACACACAGCAATCCAGCAATCAGGTCAGTCATCTAAGAGCAAAGCGCTGAGGCCCAGACAGTGTATGTGTGAGTTTGTGTGTGTGTGTGTGTGTGTGCGGAATAGCGAGGAAATAAAAGTAACAACGAGAAGAACAACAGCAGCGGTCTGGCCTAGACGGCTGGGGAACACAACACAACAGTCCTCTCATTAATACAGAATACAGACACAGAGCAGCAGCCCACACATACATAGTACACACTCTGTGTGTGTGTGTGTGTGTGTGTGTGTGGGTGTGTGTGTGTGTGTGTGTGTGTGTGTGTGTGTGTGTGTGTGTTACAGAGCGAGATCGAGCTAGTGAAAGAAGAATAGATGGAAAACCGCATGGGGGCTTTAAAGAGAGAAGGGGGGGGGGTGCAGTTAGTGTTTTACCTCGCTTCTGACTGAGACGATAAACCTATAGCTCAATGCAACTCTGGTTAACCAGAAACACACTGATAGCACAGATAGTACCGCGTCTTGAATTATGAAAATCCTTTAGTTGGTGAGCGCTGATTTATATTTTTTCTTGTGCTTTAAAAAGAATCTGTGAGTCTGTCTTTCAGTTATTTCTACAGTGTCTGCGGCCCTCAGCCCTGAGCCAATTTGTGAGGACATGAATCCTTAAAATTGAACAAAAATACAAAGAAGAGTGTGTACTGCATTTCTTGGGGATGATTTTCGTTGGCGGGTTAATACGCATTTGGTATGTTAGTGAGTATTTACTGCATTTCTTGGGGACTATTTTCAGTGGTGGATTAATACACATTTGGAATTACTTCCTGTCTGCCTTCTTCTGTTAATTTATCTGACGTCTAGCACGCTCCGTCTTTTAACCTCTTTTCCTTTCTCTTTCTTGATCTTCCTTAGCAACGGTCATTATAGTCCTTGACAGCGGCCTGTACTACGGTATTAACAACATGTCACATGTTCTGAATTGACCAATCAGAATAGTATACAACTAAGCTGTGTAATAAGTGAGTATTAACATCAGTATAATTCTGTATGTGCAATGGAGTCAAACACTAAATGTTTATTGTAATAAAAGAGAGTGTTTTCATAGTTTTTATTTATTTATGGCACACAATAAAAAGCTTTATCATTTTTAAGCAGTTATTTCCTTAAAGGTCACCTATTATGCAAAATCCACTTTTCATGTATTTTATACATAAACAATCACCAACCAAGGTAACCCCCCCCCATATCACCTGAATCTCCTCCTAGAGCACCATTGTGTTCTTTGTAACCAAATCTCTCTCAGAGGGGCGTGGGGAGGGGCTGTTTATTTTCATCTAAAGTAACGGACAGAGAATCAGCACTTTGGAAACAGGGCTGAAACAGAGGGGATTATGGGATGCTGCAATGATCTGTTTGGTATTTGGACCAAACACTTCAGAGACATGTTTTGTATATATCTGAGACATATAATATATTGATGAAAAACAGCATAATAGGGGACCTTTAAGGTTTTTTGATAACATATCACCACCTATTTAAAATCGAGGCAGTAATGTCGTCCAGAGTTTTGCCAACTCTACAGCGTGTTGATTCTTGTGTGGGGTGTGTCTGTGTGTGTGCTGCAGTTCATACCTCTGCCTCCAGAGGGCAGCGTGGCCACATCGCTGTTGACAGGCAGGCCAGCTCCCAGTCCGTTGTTTAACACAGGGCCGTCGGAGGGCTTCAGCTGCCATGTCAGACCCAGCACGTTGATGGCTGCACACAAAGGCATGGAGAGAAGAGGAGACTGTGAGGACATACGACTTGAACGGTGGATTGTCTACGAGCCTGGCACAACAAAAAGCCTCACTTGAAGGCTCATCAAGCCAAATAAATACAAGAGGGTGAACCATTAAGTCATTTAAATGGCAGCTTTTACAGAACGCCACTTTGATTCTCGTGTTAATGCGAATCAATCAAATGACACTTTGGCAGGTAACCTACGGCACACAAATGGAGTCTTACAAAACTCACAATTAAAAACCATAGGGATTTTCTTTAGCTCAACCACTCACAAATATTCTTTCAACCTGACAGCCTCTCCTTGCTTTTATGTATGCCGCCTCGCAGAGAGCAAGTGACAGATTGCTCTCTGAAGAGATGGCTCTCTGACTCTCCTTTTCCCTTCTCCTCTTTCTTTTGTCCTCTGTTCTGTAATTGTGTGGTACTGGTGGTATAAAACTACTCCAGTGTGTTCGATCCTCACTTTGTCAGCTCTCTCGCTCCTAAGTCTGCTGTCAAGCGTGCCCTCCCCCGAAAAGGATAAAACAACAAAAAAGTCTCTTACTGTACACAAAAGTTTTTGTTTGGTGTAGACATATGTTTCTAAGGGTTGTAAAGGATTGGTTTAATCCATCAGATGTTCTCATATGTGAATACTTGAAATATGTTATAGAACAGGCACCTGCAGCGTTGCATATCCACATGAATACTGTGATGTGAGCTTTGAGGATGCACACGGCGTGGATTTGTGATCATGTGCGATGTATTATGTAGGTGTTATTGCGTTCCTCTCAGCGCTGGCCCGTGAGCCCTATAACACCTGCACTGAAGCCTGAGAATCAATTTCCCTCTTGTCAAATTCCATCTCCACATGCCCAGTTTCTGCACACACAGGGACGAGCGTATACAAGTTGCGAGAGAAAGAAAGAGAGACGCGGCTTTAGGAACTGCTGCCGGGGCAGACTCATTCTCGCCCCGGTGTCCCATCTCTCTTCCTCTCTCTGTTTCTTTTTTTAATGTTTCCTCTCTTTCCCTATTCCTCCCCTCCCTCGCTCCCGGTCAAAAGAAAGAGCTGACACCTCGGCTGCTGCTCGGCCTCCACTGTCAGCTCTTTTTTATTTTTCATGGGGGGGCTGGAGTGCAGAACAAGAGAGACGGAGGCGAGAGAAGACTACACTGTCCTCCCCCCCCCACACCCCCCTTCCCTGTTTCTTCTCTCTTCCATCCACCTCTTGCCCTCGCCTCTCTCATCACGCTGACCTTCATTCCTCTCCCTCTTTTCCTATTAATCCCCCCCTTTTTTTCTTCTTCTTCTCCTCTTATCTTCGCCTGTCCTTCCTTGTAGATAACGCAGACATGCATCCGCGCACACATTCAGGCACACGGAGAGATGGTATCACGGGAAGCAGTCGATGGAAAGATTACCTGTTGAATCGGTAGGAGACAGTGAGCAATAGTGAGTCTATTGTGACGGCGCTCTCAATCTAGGTCATCCCCAAGAAGGCACCAGACAGCCCTATAGAAAGCGTATTTTGTATGTTTGCCCACTGTGTGTGTGAGGGGTCGCTGCACATCTGTGGTTCTCCTAGTTCTTTTCTTCTGTGGGTGGTTGTGGAAAGTCGACCAACAGATGGCACTCTTACTCCTCGGCGACAGGAGCTCAAAAGCTTTGTCAACAGGTTTTCTTTGCAGCAGCACAAAGAGCAGGAGAGACAGAAAGAGAAAGAAGACAGGGACATACTCTTGTTTTAATTTACAAGCTCCATCCCTCTTATGAACAGCACTTCTGACTTAGTTAGGGTGTAATTTTAGCCGAAACCCAAATGCTGAAATTGATGCATTTGGCTTTGTGTTGCCATCATTTTAAGCATTTTCTTTTCAGGTCATAATTGCCGTAATTGCTGTTTTGGAGCTGCATTGGAAGGCTTTATTAAATGTCATGCCGATAATGCCTATCTGAATTGAATTCGACTGACTGACACCAAGAGAAGCTCCTCTTTGATCTCTCATATTCGTCACGAGTAAATACACATGTACACTCAACACGGAGAGATCACAGGGACACAGGTTTAACAAGTAAACGAGTCGGATAAAAAATAGATCTGTTGCTTCGAGAGGTTTTTATGTAATCGCGATGCATAATTCAGAGAGGCAAAGTGCTTGCCAGTATCATCTGCAAAAGACAGCATGTGAAACAGCAGCACACGTGATCCTGTGACAAAAACAAAATGATGGATAGGGGGGGGGGGGGCTGGGGACAGGAGACGACAAGAAGGACGAGGTGGTGGTGGTGGCCAGGCTCAGAGATGGGGGTCAGGAGGACTTTAGGAAAAAACCTCGACAGAGAGGAGGAGACAGGAACAGAGAGAATACTGGAGGACAGCGAGAACTGAGGGAATATGAAAGAACATAAAAAATCCCATGAAGATTTAAAAAACAAAAAAGAGCAGGAAAAACTCCAGATGATGCTGTAGAGAGGAGAGGAGGAGATGAATAAAGGCCCCTACGGATGGGAAAAAGGCGGGAAGACGAGAAGAAGATGGCAAGTGGAGAGGAAAGATTTAAGGGATGAGTGGCCCTGTATTCGTTGACTGGTAAGAAAAGATGGCCGTGATTCATCCTCTGACAGTAAGTGCTTCTCAGTGCGGGGCAATCAGACAGAAATACAATGTGTATGCTACGTGTGTTTGGGGAAATATTTATATGCCTCAGAGTTAAAAGGTGCAAATGGATTTCTGCATGAGAGTGGCAGAGATGGAGAAAAGGTGACTTTGTAGACATAGTGTCCCCAGACTGGAAGATATCGTATCATCATCATTCTGTTCCCTGGAACATGTTTCAAACTCCTTTCCTCTCTCTGTGCGTTGTCATGTCTCTCCCGTCCCTGTCTCATCTCAACCATATCATTGCCTATTTAAAAGGCAGCATCTCCCTTTCAAGCAATTGCACTGCTCCTAATTGCACAAAAGCCAAAGTGGCCCTCTTGCATGTATTTCTTGCAATGTGACTACGATTACACACACACACACAGAGACTGCAGGCAACACACTTCTCTTTGCCATCTCCCCTGGCCATCCTGGTAAATGCATATTAACTGTTCTAATTTGCCACTAAATTAACAACTCTGACCTCAATTAGGGTGGTAATTGTAGCTGAGGCCAGCCCCCCATCCTCGGCCCTGGCTGCTAATTGGTTTAGCCCTGTTTCCCCCCTGTTTTTTCTAAACACCTCCCCAATTCCAAGGCCTCTCATTTGGTCCAGAACAAACACAAAAAGAAGTCACCTTAGAAAAAAACGCACCGTCGCTTTTTCTTTTTTAACCACCTCGCTCTTTATCTCTGCGGCAAAGGGGTGCAGTGCTAATACGGAGGGAGAGGAAGAAAAAAAGCAGCCTCTGGTTTCTCGATATCCAGCAGCCATTTCGGATATTTCTTAGACTTTCCCACACAATAGCCACTTATGTAGTCTATGAATAAAGCAGCTTTCTCTCTCAGCTAAGTTTTGAAGGCGCTCGGCCGCTCGCTGAGATCATTTAGAGTCTCCGACGGAGGGACGGGGGCGGCGGTTGGCTGCTGCCCTCGGGGGTCATAGACACTGAGAGAGACAATTTGTCTGCTACTGAGTGTATCTGGGTATGCATGCTTATAGCTTGGTATTAACAACAAGCACACACACACACACACACACACACACACACACACACACACACACACACACACACACACACACACACACACACACACACACAACACACACACACACACACACACACACACACACACACACACAACACACACACACACACACACACACACACACCACACACACACACACACACACACACACACACACCACACACACACACACACACACACACCACACACACACAACACACACACACACACACACACACACACACACACACCACACACACACACACACACACACACACACACACACACACACAGCTGCAACCCCCGACGGGGCCTCCTCACCCAGCTGATGCAACTGAACTGTAATTGACTGCAACACAAAAGGTTATGTGAGTTTTTTACCTGCAAAACAGTGTCTACCGGAGAGAGACGGCAGCTCACTCAATCACACGGCAGAAATGGCTTCCTTATTGGCACTGAAATATTGAGACGGCTCGGCGCAGATGTAGCTGTGCGTGCGCGCGTGTGTGCGTGTGATGGGCTAAATGAAAAGAGATGTGAATCTGAGTGATGTCCTACTTTTTCTGAATCCTCATTTCCTCTTCAGATATCTCAACCCTGACCCCTCCCCGCGCCTTCTCTTCTCCACATCAACCCACTCTGCGGCGTCTCATCCCTCCCTATACCTCGGTCCTTTCCCTCTCATCGATCAGTATTAGAAACAGGATATGAGGAACTATGCTATCTTATCGCAGATCACAGAGTGAGAGGGAATGAGTGAGGGAGAAAGACGGAAGGAGAGGGACTGAAAGAAAATGGGAGACAGAGAAACAGGGCCGCGATTTTCTTTCTCTTTGCATTCATCCATCTCCTGTTTCCAACACAGGACCAGCGGAGCACCATGGGCCTAATTGGACTAACGATTGGGCCCAGATAAGACCCACGCTAATGAATAAATGAATGAGGAAATAAATGAATGAAATGAGCCCGTGCAGGCTAATGCATGCGATATGAAACAATCAGAAACAACCGCAGCTGGAAGTACTCAGATCCTTTACTTAAGGAAAAGTAGAAATACTATTGTTTTTAAAATACTCAATTACAAGAAAGTCGATTTAAAAAATGCTACTTAAGAGGAACTAGAGAACTAATATCGGCAAAGTGTACTGAGGTATAATTTTGACAAAGTAAAATGACTCAGTTTGTAAAATGTCTCTTTTCACGGTATTCTACTGTTCATTTATTATAGTTCTGTTTGTATCACCTGTAAATACATTTTCATCAGGACTGCACGATATCGAAGATTATCTTGACTGATATTGCAATTGCAACATGATCCAC